CCCCTTTCACCCCCCTTTTACGGTGTCAGCTGTGACAGAACATGTATACGACTTTGGACAGAGCTCGTCTGAATCGACATTGTTTTGTTTTATACATTTGTATGAAATGTGTTTGCTTGTGTTTACAATATGTAAATTTGTTTGGTTTTCTACAGTTTTTAAATTTTTGCAAAAGTTGTCAAAGATTCGTCCATAGGATTTAGTAAACAATAGTTTGAATGATTTTAAGTGTTAAACTTATTAAATGCTCAAGTATCTAGATTATTTTCCAATGAAACTGATCAGTTCTAAAATGTGTCGTGTACAAAATTAATTCAAGTAGACATTAAATTACAATGTTAAAGTTTAAGCTGGGTTTAGAATAAAGATGACCATTTGAAGAAGATCATCCCCCCAAGGGATGTATTGTTGTAAAATAAAGTGATCTTTCTTTTACAATAATTTAATACTGTAATTTCAAAATGTAGGGTCCAGCAGGAAACCCCCATATCTAAAGATCAAATAAAATATTGCAACCATTCATCAAATATTCAAACGTTAATTATTGATGAGTAAATAATTAGCTCTTCGGAATCAAATTTTAAAAAAAACAACCGATGATTCCATAAAACTAAATTAGTAGGAAGCGGAATTAAAAAGTGTGGAAACAGAAAGTCTCGTTTTAATCTGAAGCGTCCAGACGAACGGTCGATCGAGGTTTATGCTTAATGGAATTGTTGAGAGCCAAGAACTCAGTCAGCCGTGAAGTTGGTGCGACTTTGGTCAACGATTTTCTATACGACTTAACGATTTGTATTTTCATTTAGTAAAATCAAGTTAATGCAGATAATCTCTTGTAAAGGATACTAGTTTTTACATTCCATTTTATACGTATTTTCATAGATTAGTACAGTATCATACTTTTTTCAAATCAACTCCTTTAGGAAAATAAATGAATGTTATGATAATAAATTAAATGTCCTCCATTCGAGCAGATTTTTTAACCCTAATGATGAAATGAACTACTTTAGTACCGCAACGCATGCATCGAAAACGGCCGTTTTTGCTGCAGTGTGAGAAAAAGTAGTTTTCGAAACGACCTCTTCTCTGTGAGTAATATTCCAGTATCGATTCAGCGCTGTGGTAGAATTTAAACTCCTACTCCGTCGATTATCTATCTCCAATATACCAATCACGCCTACACGGAAGCGCAACCAACACACAGAATGTTGCGCATGACTGGTAAAACAGACCATTGCACATGCGCATGAGTCACACTTAACGAAACACCCTGCGGCAACAGGTATCCGCCCCCGCGCGGGTGTAATTATTTAGATAGAGGTGATGTTAGTTTATATAGAAACTTAGTGATCTTTGTGAGGTGGTGAGAGTTACAGAGTGAATGAAAAGGGGTTTTCATTTTATAGCTTTTCGATGTTTAACAACTTTCGTAAACGCGTTGTTTTCTGTCAATTTTAAATAGTAGTTGGTTTACTGTTTAGGGAAGATCAGGTAATTTTAGGGGTGGTCAGAGTATTTCGAGTGGTCATCATGTGATTGTGATATATGGTCGGTGATTTTTAAGTGTGATAAGAGTTGATTCTTAGGGGTGATTAGTTGTTTTTGAGGGGGTTATCAGGTGATTTTGAGGGGGGATTAGTTGATTTTGAGGGGGGATCAGATGATATTTAGGTGTGATCAGTTGATTTTCAGGGGTGATTAGTTGTTTTTGAGGGGGTTATCAGGTGATTTTGAGGGGGGATCAGTTGATTTTGAGGGGGGATCAGTTGATTTTTAGGGGGGAATCAGGTGATTTTGAGGAGAGATCAGGTAATTTTTTTAGAATTTATCAGTTGATTTTGAGGGTGGGATCAGGTGATTTTGAGGGGAGATGAAATCTGCTCAACAATACTTCTGCTATCCCTTAACTAGTTTGTGTACATACATGTAGTGAAAACTAACTTAGTGAAGAATATATTAAGTCTGAAAAGTGATATGATGTATACCCACATCAATTATGCATACTTTAAATCGTAAAGCACATTTGGGTGACAAGAAATAAACACCGTTACGTGAATTTATCTATCTTGTATTTATTCGTTTTTCGAATGTCTACCAGACGACTAATCACTTAGTGCTGGAGACAGTTTTGCAATCAACTTGACGACGCAATCCACGTGTGAGCACCACGAGTAATCGTCGTAAACTCGCTGTAAACCACTGCACTAACTCGCCCGGTCTTATCATGTGGTTGTTAACACTAGTAACCGCATCGGCCCGTGATAGTGGGACTTGTTTATAGTTTGTTGACGGTTCTGTTGGAACTCTAAATAGCTATGTGGTGAAATAATATGACAATAACTAAATTAATCAACGATTTAAAAAATATTAATTAAAATGTTATTTGTTCATTTAGAGTCTTAAATCGAGGCGTAACTATGTTAGACATTCAATCATTGACTTTGCATCCTGGAGGAGACTTTTATTGTTTTGTTGTGAGAGTAGACTTCACATCTGCGTCATTTTCAAGACCTATTATTGATCAACCAATTCAAAATAAGTTATTGAATTGTTTCGTAGTTCTCCTTTCCAAGAACAAACCACACCGTCAAGTAGACATTACTTTAACACGGTGAAGTTGTTGTCAGTTTTAGGATAAAAACTTTTTTAATTGAGCCAAATGTAGAGTATTTTTCTGGATTCTACACTATCCTTTCTTATAAACCAGTCTTGAACAATTACAAACTGAACAAGTAACCTATTGTGAATTATGTAGCGTCTTATCTACAGTCATAGTATGTACAGAAACATAAGTACTAAACCAGTGTTTTGGTAAACACAAAGAGAAAAGTGAAGTACAATAGTAGCAATTTCTATGAGATTTATTCAATGTTAATTTCTTTATGTACAAACTGGCTTCAACTGTTTCACATTTGTACATGAAAATTCATCAATATCTATAATTAATATAACAACCTGTCAAAATAGTTCAAACATATAGAAAAAAAACATTGACAAACAACTCCGAGAGAATGCGTTACACTGACAGAAAACCATCAAGAGACGACAAAACTGATGATTTCTATCAGTTTACGTCTTACAGACTGACGACTTGTACTTGTACAATCGTTTTGTCGATAAAGTTGTTTATATTCGTATCAGGTCCTCGAACTTCCCATATCCTGCTCGTGTCGACGCGATAAAGGATACGTTGGTCACGCGGCGCACGACACGCTCACGCACACGCGCACGCGACGTACAACAATGTCTGTGACGTCGTAAGTGTACTGACACACCTGTCTGTGACGTCATCAAAGTACATGCACATACGCGAATGTGGTGACCTACAAGTACTCATAGTCATAAGTATGACATAAATGTACTCACACACACGCACGTCGTAAATAAACCCACGCTTTCAACCGTGACGTCACATTAGAACTTACACAAACTAGTGTGTGACGTCATAATCAATCGTGCAATTACTTTCGTACATAAGACGATACGCATACATTCTCATTCATACATGACGTTGTACGCGTGCGGACACATTCTGAATCATATTTTACGTTTTAAAAGGAAAGACTCATTTCGTATGTTACGTCATAAGATGACGGATTCATTTATGATGACGTCATTGTCGTACTGGCGCTGTTGTTGGTCACGTCATACATATCCATCATTGGTATCCCTTAATCCCCAATTTTAATTAAATAAATTTAAAAGTTTCAGACCGATTTTTCTTCAGGACTTTCTCTTTTCAGGACTTTTTTTCAAGATTTCTCTCCCTAACATCAATGTAAAATAACATTGATTGTCACATTACCATAGGACACAGCTTCAGTCAATGAAGAGTTAGAATAGCTTCACATACAAGGCGCTGTGTCGCGCTCTATGACGCCGTACACGCGTGTTTTGCCGCGCTTTATGACGCCTTGCACGCGTGTTTTGCCGCGTTGCCGCGTGCGTGTCAGACACGCGTTTCACCACGTCATCAACGGAGGGTGAATGCGTGTTTACGACTGACGCTGTTAAATCTTTATGAGCCATAAAGTAATTGCGGTCGGTTTATCGTATTTGGTGTAAAATATATGGTTAATTTACACGCGTGAAATGGGGAAAATTGCGATGTGTATTGTAACAGGTTTTTGATATTTGAATGTTTGATCAAAGCTATACAGATAATCCACGTTTCTGTTTCGTCATAAGGATTTCTCTTAAAAATATTCTGATGTCTTTGGAAAGTACTGTAGAATGTTTCATGGCCCGATCAGCTGATCATCATTACCCATGATGCTTTGCTGCACAGAGCAACGCGGTTGCATCATAGAAGTTCCTCCCATCGTGAACTGAATTATGGTAATATATTTAGATGAATCGTGATGTACTGGACTCGCAAGGTTTATCAATCTTTGTATGCAGTAAAGATTACATAGAAGTCCGTGAACTTACATATCCTTGTGCCTTGGAGTTGTGTAATTTAATGAGATGATGTTGGAATACATACGGTCGTGGTGATGGAAAATGGGCGAAGCTGTTTTATTTCACGATGATTAAAAAAATAGACCCTTCCTTTACTAGGTTCTAAATACTCACTAAAATAGAAATTCACTTGTGATGAAGAGTAGAAAAGACACTACGTCGACTCGTGTATGTATATTTTTCGTCATTAACTAAGCAAACTATTTCACGAGAACCATAATTGTTATAGTAAATTAAATACACTCAAATTATTTTACTTGAGTTAGTAATAAACCCATGGTAGGTGAAATTCAAAGCATTTCCTATACTACGACAAAAACAACGCATGTTGCAGAAAAATCTAAATTTCAAAACAATTCACGTATTTTTCGTTCAAGAAATTGGTAGAATCCACTCAAAAACATACAAAAAAAAATTGTCACTGTATTTTTAATATGTGTCGTACCAGGTTACTAATTTTCGTTCAGTGATTGACGAGTCGTTCTGTACACTTTATTTGTTTGTGTTTACAAATTTCTTAATGTTGTGTTTTGTTTCAGAGCGGAGCAGTAGTCTTCTCAACGCTGGAAATGGCCTACAACTACCGTCCGGCAAAACCCACCCCCACTACCCTCCCCTGTAAGTACAGTATAGTGTGTAATATTCACGCTTCAACTTTTAACTATCTAATTCAATCTTCAAACAGAGCCTAATCTACTAACCTAACCCTACAAACTAACTCATCCCCTCAAACTGACAATGGAAATGTGCTCAAACTAATAAACTATAAACTATTGTTTCAATATCATTATATCTGTTAATTATTGAAAAAAACAATAATTTTCGTACGAACAACAATTTTTTACTACAGTAATGTAATGTCCTAAATAACAATCAAATATATCGGGCATAAATAAGTAGAGGGTAGATTAAATTATAGAATTAGTTACAAAATATTAGTCATCACAAGAAAGTGCAAACAATAATTATATACAAACTTGTAACGCAAAAGAGTTAACATATTAATAGTTAAAAATTAAGTTTTATGTCAAGTTAAACGTACGTTTTCACTTTTCCACTTTCTTGTATTTTGTATAATTTGATTACTTGTTTGCTACATTTTGAACAATTAAGGACAGTTAACATGGTACCAACATGGGAAGTAAAGTAAAACCTAATAGCACACTAAGAGAGACATGGAGTTTAAACTCTTAGATGAGATTCACTAGAGGTGGCAGTGAAGTAGTTTATTACTCCATGTTGGATTTCTTCCTTGCACAGACCTCTGGGAAATAATAAGATTGTCTTGAACATTTTTGCGATTCTACGTTTTTCATCCTTAAGAAAAATGTGATTGATTCAAGTGTTGTTTGTTTTATTATGCATTATGGAGTTAAGCAAAGTTTCTTATGGAGTATTTTTGTAGGTATTTATGTACAATATTGCTATCATTGAATCTTAAAAAAATATTTAAAATTTTTGAATTGGAATCTTGTATTAATTCAATCAGTGATGGATACATAAAAGAAATTTTCTAAATACATTTTTAATATTGTATTTCCTCCCTTAAAGATGTTTATGGGGGAGACATTTCCGAAACAGTTAGGTTTGGCAATTAATTTGGTCGAGATAAAATATTTACATAAAAAACTGTAATTCTCTTTTAAATGTTCATGAGGGCTAAATCTAAACGTATGGGTTAGGTTTGGCGATTAACTTGGTTGAGATGAAACAATTAATTATGTTGTAGCTGAAAAAGTCGTTAACAACTTAATTGTTTGCTTCTCGTATCCAAGGAAGCTGTGTAATAGATAAATCTTCGAGGTGTATCTTGATTCCAAAATAGGCTGGGACTGGCGATGACCTGTAAATCACGGAGTGACCTTTTATAACCCACGTGGCGTCCCCTCCTCCCCTCGCTGCGGCAGTCTGCCTCAAAACGTCGAACAATACAGTCGGTTCCCATCACTGTAGACACAACTTGTTTAGGCTAGTAAATATAAACTTACACATACACTATACACGTTTTAGGGGTAAATAATGTAAAATCAAATAGATGTATTCGGGCATTGTTTCTTAAGCAGCACATCCCATCTCCTCCTCATCTCTCTGTGACAGAAACGTCAAACAATACAGTCGGTTCCCATCACTGTAGACACAACTTGTTTAGGCTAGTAAATATAAACTTACACATACACTATACACGTTTTAGGGGTAAATAATGTAAAATCAAATAGATGTATTCGGGCATTGTTTCTTATAAGCAGCACATCCCATCTCCTCCTCATCTCTCTGTGACAGAAACGTCAAACAATACAGTCGGTTCCCATCACTGTAGACACAACTTGTTTAGGCTAGTAAATATAAACTTACACATACACTATACACGTTTTAGGGGTAAATAATGTAAAATCAAATAGATGTATTCGGGTATTGTTTGTTAAGCAGCACATCCCATCTCCTCCTCATCTCTCTGTGACAGAAACGTCAAACAATACAGTCGGTTCCCATCACTGTAGACACAACTTGTTTAGGCTAGTAAATATAAACTTACACATACACTATACACGTTTTAGGGGTAAATAATGTAAAATCAAATAGATGTATTCGGGTATTGTTTGTTAAGCAGCACATCCCATCTCCTCCTCATCTCTCTGTGACAGAAACATCAAACAATACAGTCGGTTCCCATCACTGTAGACACAACTTGTTTAGGTTAGGAAACATGAACATACACCGTTATGATATAGGGGTAGAAATACATAACAAAATTACTTTAATGGTTGTTAAGCAGCACCTCCCATATCCTCCTCGCCTCTCTGTGACGGAAACATCAAACAATACAGTCGGTTCCCATCACTGTAGACACAACTTGTTTAGGTTAGGAAACATGAACATACACCGATATGATATAGGGGTAGAAATACATAAGAATTACTGTAATGGTTGTTAAGCAGCATCTCCTATATCCTCGTCACCTCTCTGTGACAGAAACATTGAACAATACAGTCGGTTCCCACCACTGTAGACACTACATGTTTAGGTTAGGATACATGAACATACACCGATATGATATAGGGGTAGAAATACGTAACAAAATTACTTTAATGGTTGTTAAGCAGCATCTCCTATATCCTCTTAACCTCGCTGTGACAGAAATATTGAACAATACAGTCGGTTCCCATCATTGTAGTCACTAGGCTACATGTTTAGATTAGGAAACATAAACAAACACCAATACGATCTGGGTTTAACTAAAATTAATCGACTTTGTAAGCTAGAAGGTAGGCCTCCACGGTCAGAGCAAACTGTTGAATATTGTTATACGAAAGATGATTCGATGATTGTATCGATAAACTTGCCAAAATACTACCTACGAAATGGATACTTGCAGCAAATCCATCCGAAACATCGGCCTGTACTGTCGCGATTTCATCATCGTGGCTATCTACCGAAGACTAAATAACCTAATTAATTATTGTTTTGTGTTCAAATAGTGCACAACCCTTCATAAAACACCTCTACGACAAAATATTGAACAATAAAATCTCTTCTCGCCATTATTACTACAATTTTAAGTAGCAACACTTTCTTATCTATGAGATTGATACCTAATCCCTCCGCACATATCGAGGTAGTGACGTCAGTGCAGTGCGTTGGCCCGCGGGACGTCGTAATCTGTAGCGCTGGACTTTAGAAAGGCAAATCATTCATTCGACCGCGGCCAGTGAAAGGTTCCGCCCGTCTGATTTTGACCTACATCTTGGAATACCGCGAGGTTGTAGCTTTGATAACGTAAATCACGCTTCGTCGTTTGTTAAATTAATTCTGGAAGGTTCACTCGTTGAAAAAATATAGTAAATTATGGGTTAAAAAGGGGTTGTTTTAGAGATAATAGGTTGTTATGGAGAAGTTACAGATTCAGATATTTTTCATTGGAGATAACACAGCTGATCATGAGGAGAGGGAAAGATATCAGTGCATTGTAGAAAACGTCGCAAGGTGGATACATCGAGAAGTATCAGCTGATTGTTGGTAGATAACAGCTGATTATGCGAGGGAGAGTCAGCTGACAACATGGCGGTGATGTGATGACGCTGCTAGACTGCTGATGAGTTTGCTCCAAGAATGTGACGTGTATTTCTGTCACGATTTTCTCAATTACACTGAGAAATTCTGTTACGGTTAAACTCTTGGAATATTCTGTCGGCCCGAACACTCTTTGCTAGAAGATGCATTTTTTTACGTAAAACTACGATGTCTCAATGAGTCCTAAAATTCTAAACAAATTGTCGAATTATCCATGCACTGTTTGTTGTTGAAACAGACCTGTCCATTGAGAGAGTTTTGAAAGCGTGTTGAGCTCTCAACCCCAAAACCGGTGTTGAAGGACGTTAGCGACGGTTTAAGCTTTTGTCCCTGACCTTCCCAGGAAGTTTTTGACAATACTCGGAACCCCCTGCCCTTAGACATTGACTACGGAGTACAGTCATTGACTATGGAGTACAGTCGGTGCCTTAGACCAGTTCTACGTCACGTACTCGTTGTGATGGTTCTTGTAAAGAAATCTAAGTATTTATCTCATAAATTAAAAATATCGCGTTTTACGTTGAACGAGAACGCAATTTATAAGAATTATATTCAAGAAGAAATCCCCTTTTTATTCCACACATTCAAGGGCGAACTCCCAGTTTATTCCGCATATAGAGAAATTTCATTTGATACCTTAAAAGTCCATCAACGCTAAAATACTACCTGTATTACGAAAACCCCCTGACCCCTTGGTTGCTCTCTTGTAACAATAGAAATACAATCCTCAGATCTTTATATCTCCGGGGTTTACATTGAAATCTCCAGATAGTTAAGACCACAACTTGAACTAAACTTGCACAATTAATTTTGCTATAGCTTACGTAGAGTGTATTTTAGGTTATACGATTCGTCCAGACCCCAAGTGACAAGAAGTCCACTACAGTTGTAGGCGGCAGCCGGCGGGTCAAAGCGAAAGGACAATTTACATAAATGGAATATTTTGACAACAATTACGTCTGGAAACTCACGTTTTGGGTTTACTGCCTGCTCTTCCCACTTACACTGTCAGAGATCACCGCCTTCTGTACAAACAATGGCACTAACTGATGTAGACCTACCGTGGCCTTTCTTGTGCTTTAATATTTGGTCGTAAAAAGGCTAGAAAATAATCATTAGCTTTGTATTGTTTTGTTCAGTTACAATAGTTAAATCATCTCCATCAAATCAGCTGACCACATTGTTGCATTGTTGGATTATTTGTTTTTTTTCCTTTAGGATACTTTACAGTATTTTAATAGCATCACCTCATAAATGATAAATCTCCAAAGGAGTTGGCTATATTTGATATATTCTATCGTTTAGTTGCCATTTTAGATGTGTTTCCAGTATGAATACAGCAATAATGGCTTCCAAGCCTACTAAAGGAACTTCCTCAATTATATCACGTTATTGGTCAATTAATTAACTCAGACGTGTGCTACAAAGCGCACAACGACGCCTCTACACTTGTCTATTTGTTACTTAGTGGCTCGTGTGGCTTTTGTTTGAGCGTTGATTTCACATACACACTCCCTTAAAACGTCATAGGTCAGCTGAAAGTCAATGTAATGTATGTTTTCCGGTAATGCCTAAAAAACGTTCATCTTCCCTAGTTGAATTCTTCAACTAAAAATTATTTTAAAGATTGCGTAATAACAAAAATTAAGGAAACTCAGTGAAGTGGTACGTATTCTTCAGAGGATCCCATAAAGATGAAAGTTCTGTATACAGATTTTAAAATACAGTAAACCGATCGAGTTTCAACTAGAAAAATTAACTTTGCCAAGTACTTAGAATCTTTTAGAACAAGTTCTATGTTACGCCCCCTTGATGTCCCTCCCAAAACATTTCAGGGGAAAAGTTTACATTACAGTGAAAAGATGAAAAACCCGTTCTGAAATCGATCTCTGATCGAAATAGAAGCCATAAAATCGGAAATCTGAAAAAGTGACGGAAAGTTTTCTTATTTATATTCCGGAGTTAAACCGTCAAGTAATTTAGCAGGCGAGGGTGCTGCTAACAATATCAGCGAGTCATTAACAGCGGCTGTTTGATTTATTGCTCCCCCCCCCCGGACATTCCACCCGACGTACACCCTCCCCGGTGTCGCGACTATGCAAGACTTGGAATATTGCGGGTGTGTGTTGTCTAGTAGAGTGAGAGATTGGAAAACGTATTATTAATTGTGGTATTAGGCCTATTAACTCGAGTGGCCCAAATGAAGTAGTAGCTCACCTAAGGCTAAGACGTCAATATTTTCAATGAATCAAATCAAAATTTTCCATACTTGCATGGAAAAGGAGTCGGAACCTGGACGATTCATTCAGCTGTCGGAACAAGTTCAATACATCGAGTTTCTGGGAGGGAAGACATAAACAAAATAAACGTGTCCAATGCATCGCTTTGTGTTGAAAGCAGTTTTCATTGTGCGGCTTCCAAGGTGGGTCTTAGGTCCGTGATTTTTTACCCCATAAAGAGGGGCGTGTAATCGTATTGACAACCGATCTCCGGGGGTTGTGGGAAGGGTGGGTTTTTTTCTGAGGTCTGCTGACCCTAATTAAATGAAGTTTTGACACTTGGCTGCTTAGTTCTTACCACAATCGTTGTTTGGTCTTGTATTGCCGTTATGAGAAAAGTTGAGTTTGTCTGGTTTTCAAACGAATTTTGTTTCTGTAGAAAGATTTTTTTTGCTGGTGTAGACAGTTAAGTTGGGAAACTGAACAACTTATTCTTGGATAGAGTGTAATGAAGTGTCGGGGAAGATTATGATTTTATTTCACGAAGTTAGACAATTACACGTTTTATTCTGATGAAAAACTGTATAATTGTATTCCAAATATGTCGACAAAACAAGTTTTATGGGGAAATCATTCTGTTAAATGTAAAAGAGTATCGAGAAATATACTTTGATAAATTTAACACAAACTTGTTTAAAATATAAATTAACATTTAATTATTTATATTTGTTACAGTACTTTATTATCTGTTATTTATCCTACTTGTGTTTATTTTTAGTTTATAATTGCCTATTTTTGGAATATAGTTTTATTTCACAATAAAATGTTTACAGTCCGTTGGATTCGGGACAGTAATATGTACAAAATACAAACTTATTAATTTTTGTTTACTAAACGTGTTGATATACGTTTTGATGTCGATACACATAACATCATTAAATTAAACGTGTACCTATGAAATTCATGATTCGAGCAATAGTAACAGAAACGATTGGAAGAAATGGAGAGAAAACTACAAATTTCACACAGATTGTCGGGTTAAAGCTGATGATAATTCCAGTTTGTTTATAGCAGGAGAAACATTGAGGGTAGAAGATAAGTGTGTCATGACCTACATGTTGGTCCGACCTAAACTGCACATGATCTCTGTGTTACAAACATTTGTTTGATCCATGTTTTATCATATTTCAAAGCGTATTTTCCACGCCGAGTACAATTATAGCTGTATGTGTTTGTGACAGGGAAAGATTTGTGCATTTATTAATTTTGTGTGTATTGCCACCTAACCGCATTAATAGTTTTTGTAATTACAATCAAATAAATAGTCCAAAAGTAGTTATGTTGGCATCTCAAGAACTACATTTCAGTACATAATGGTAACTACACTACAATGATAAGGTTGAAAATATATGATGTAAACTACGAAATTGTGTAACTTCATCAAAGCACCAAAACCGCAGGAAAATTGAAAGCGTAAACACCTTTACACCTAAATGTAAAATTAACTGGTTATTCGAGGTCATCCACACAACCACAACACAACACGGAAAAGAAAAGACAACTGGAATGGTGGCAACTGGTTGCTATAATAGCTTGTAGTAGGTCCCATTATATACTGTCTTAGGCTACAACCTCAACCAAGTCTACAAGTGTAACAAAATCAGGGTTTAAACATTTTCTTTACAAAACCCGTTCTAAAGTACTAGGTTATACAGCTTTTGAAATAAACTAGAAAAAAAATTAATCTTTTTATACTGGATTGAATAAAAAAGTTAGTTGATAAATATGCTCTCTCTATGAAAATGTATGAATAGTCAAACTTTACAAAAGGATGTTTTGAGAATAAAAGACCAAATATGTAGAAACTGGTTTTGCGAACTTGACAAAGGTCATTTAACCTTGTAATGTAGTAATTGTTTTCTAAATATTAACAGTCGTGTCTAAATCTATATAAAAATCAGTGTTAAAAAATAAGTTACTACTGTAAATGCAATATTCACAAATAATTAGTACAAATTTCTCTCTGGAAAACATTGGGCAGTGTATCTCAACACAATCTAATTAACAGGAAACAATGGTTGAATTAATTATTCATATAATTGATACAGTGATGACAACAGTAGATGTAGTTACAGGCTTATCTGTTGGAGAGGGGGATTAATTATACGGTTTCAGAAGCAGTGAGGGTAACAGACTAACCCACCCCTACTATTGACCATTTTACCTTGTCTCATTACATGATTCAAAAATAAACATTCGCAAGAGTGTGCATATGTTCAATATTCAATGTCAGGAAAGTAGTCAAGAGTTTAGCGTGGAACTTATCTGGATTGGGTTGTCATACTATGGTCACCGGGTTTACTACAAATGTCCTGTAGCTCAGTAAATAGACCTGGATTTTATAAATTAGCAAAATTCTGGAACCGATTACCTTTTAAGCCAATAAAGGTATCACCAATTGGCTAGTATGGAATTTTTTGAAAAGGAACGAGTTCAGCTAGTTTCAATGAGAAAATTAGAATCTCTTGGCTAATAGATACACAGTAAAACAACACAAAACATTTAACACTGACATTTCAGCTCGGTAGACTTTTAGACTTTTAGGCTTCTAGATTTCTAGCACAAATGCCACTCCTGAACAAAAGAACAAAAATATGACTTTGAATGTATTAATAATGTTCTTGTTCACCAGTCTTTGTGTGCAATTATTGTTGAATAACTATCATTAAATTATTTTCTTTGTTTCAGAAACCTACAAAGTGATCTTCGCTTGTCCGATGACAGCGATGATGATGACAATGTAAGTATTTTCAATGTCAAATGACAAACATTACATTAGGGTACCTTCTCAAACCGTGAACAAATGTCCTGTTTTTTCTTGTTTTTTTTTTATCAATAATCTTCAAATTAAAGGTTTCTAAGGGTTTTAAAAATAATATTTATACCACTTCAAAGTTTTTCCTTTCACATATTTTAATTGCTGTTTTTTTCCTCTATGATTTTTTAATATTGTTTAAAATCTCCTTGGTTTCCCTCTACAATTGGACAGTCTGTAACAGACCAGGTTCTAGTTTATACATCGTTGCAACTCAACCAAGTTCACTAACTAGCAACTGAATCTAACTCTTAACCTAGTTTGGTGGTTTATAGTAAACTTTTCAAGAGCTTCATTCTTGTATAAGGTTCAATATTGATCGGCTATCTTTTCCGGAATGAATAGACGATTTATTAAATTACTTCTAGTCGTTATCTGAATTAATGTAATCACTAAATACTACGTTTTTATAAAGTAAAAGATTAAAAACATTTCCAATACGCTTGGCAAAAATTCAAAGGCTATTTTACAATTCCAATATTATATATTACTAAAAAACACTTTTTAAAGTACCTATAATGGTTGAAGGGTTATTTTTTATTTTTAGCTATATTGTTATATTCAGTTAAATTTAAGATACAATAATGCAGGACTCAATTTTTTAGTTAACACTGTATCACTGTATGTTAAGAGATTTCCTGACAACTGATGTTATTTTGCAGCAACAACAACTCAAGCCTCCGCCTGTCAGCGCCAGGGACAAGTTGCCCATCGCGGTGGTGCCTCCCGTCTGTCACGCACCCATCCATGCCCCGCTCGCCCCCGCCACGCCTGAGACCAGCCCCATCATTGACAAGCCCATGTGAGTGGTTCTAACCTAACCTAGCCAGTCTGTTGAATACATTTTGACATTTGTACTTAGGCTTTAGGCCTTAGATAAAATAAAACATTAAACACTTTATGAGTGAAAATAAAGATTACAATTCTGTATGAAATTAATTATAATCACGAAAAACTCTGCAATAACATGTTTTAATAATCATCACAACAGACATAATTTGAATAGTCAACAAAAAATATGGTTAGTAGAAAGAATTTAGATTGTAAAACGTTGTTTCAGCTGTCTTTTTCATTCATTCTCTAGAAGAGTTTGAAAAATCTTTTAAAAGGCAATTATTTATCATGAAATCTTAAGCTATTACAGTAATCTTTTATATACCCAACAATTAGGGTTTTCTCTGTAACATCCCTTTTTCACCTGTTCTACTTAATCTACCGATTTTCACGATTGAGGTGTAATTTTAAAGCTTATGATCCTGATTATCGTATCAACTCTTTATCGCATGGATCCACAATCAGCAAATTTAATCTATTGTAAATTTGTCGTTTTATTCACCTTACTGTCTTAAAACCAGTATGTTTGTTGAAAGGATAAGGGTAACTTATTGCATTATTGTTTTTTTTTCTAAAAAAAAACTTTTGCACCGAATTAAAATATTTGCAATTTGGGCACGCTCGTATTTGTTAATTCAGTTCCATTCTCCAACTGTAATTCATTGTAGAAACCAATAGTGTTGCAGGTAGGACATGATCTAGTAAGTACAATGTAGCTTTGCTGAGACCGAGCTTTATATTGATTGGCAAAGTCCTGACTGTTTCCTCTGCTTCCTCTATCTCAATCTCTACCAATTTTCTCTTGTCCTATAATTATTGTTGTTTATTTTAATAATTTGATTTGTTTGTGTAATGAGAAACTAGAAATTAACTTTTTATGTTGCACAACCTCTATATTTATTTTTTAATCTAACAATCTGCTTATATTCCTCATAATGTAATTTGATACAAAATGTAATTATCTAAATAAATATTGTTTCTTTACTTTTCTCTTTTTCTTATTGTATTTTTGATTTTTTTTATTCCCTTCCCTTAGTTCTTCTTTTTCCCTAAAGTTTTTTTACCATATCTTTTTATTTATTAACTTTTTCCTTTTTAATCTTATTTTTGTTTATCTTTTTCTCTTGTTATTTTTTCTGTTTGTTTCTTTGTTCATTGCTTTTTATTTAATTTCTACTCTGTTACAGCTTGTCACCAGCTATAAGTGAGCTGCTGTCTCCACCACCGCAGCTGCCAGAGCCCATGTCTCCAGTGGCTCAGTCCAGCTCCAGTGAGGAAGGAGATTCTGGTAGTGACTCAAGTGAGAGTGACTCTAGCAGTGAGGTTCCCCCAGTCATGCCCCCCACGTCGGCCCCCCTGCCCCCCGTAGAGGAGCCCCCGCCACGCTGGAACCTGGAGCGGTTCCTTACTCCGCTGCAGCCGGCGCCAAGCAACGACAACAAGTCTGGCCAAGTAAGTGAACTAATGTAATAATTTTTGTGTATGCACAGTTGTGTGGTAATAAAAGGTTTGCTTTTATTAGTGCCTAAAATTAACTTGTGGGAAATGAATGCAAGGTATAATTTGTTTGAGCCCAAAAGATCCTCTAATTTGTGTCTTTCCAAAGGAAACTGTTTAGTACTGCCTTAAGTTCTCAGAAAACTAAGCATGTTAAGTCAGATTACTTGATTGATACATAAGTGTGGTAAAAGATGTCTAAAACTGTAAAAATGTTATATGTTTTTACATTTTGTTTCAGGAGGGTTCGAGCAAACAGAAGAATGAAGACGACTCAGAGCTGGATGTGGAAGTGTTAGCCAAACCTCAACCGCTGTTGTCCAGTTTGAGTGACTCGGAAGACAACAACAAGCGAGTCAAGCCGGAACATCCGCGACGACGAGGCCGGCCGAGCAAGCGAGCACAGCGGCCACCCAAGAGCAAGAGCGTTGTTCATAGTGACAGTGACGATGACGCCAGGCCTCCACCACCTCCTATACGAGGGCCTCGGACGCCGCCACGGCGCAACTACACACCCTCGGACAGTGACTCACCTCCTCCGCCACGGCCGCGCGGTCGACCTCCACGCACACCTCCCAGCCCTACCCGCCCTACCAAGCCAAAGCGGGAGAACAAGTCTCCAACGAAGGTGAAGGCTGAGCCCAAACCAGCGGAGAAGACTCCTAAGAAGCGAGGCAGACGAAAGCAAGTGCCAAAGCCCACTCCAGCGTATTCGGAGTCTGAAGAGGAAATAGTGGAGAAGAAAAAGGCTGTGAAGAGAGCCCCGAGTTCTAGCGAAAGTGATAATGAAGCTTGGGGAATCTCGTCTCCTGTCAAGAAGAGGCCGATGAAAGAGAGCTCGGTGGAAAGAAAAAAGAGAGACTCTTCGAGAGACGAGAAGAAACCAAAACGAATCAGCAAGCCGACAGTCACTTCTGACAGTTCTGACGATGAAGTCCCCAGCAAGTCCGTGTCTTGTTCTCCTCAAAAGCCGATGTCCAGGGTTCCTCCAGCACCGCCTGCAGGTAAACGGGCACCCAGAAGCATGACTCCTGAAAGTGAACCGGAAATCAAAAAAGAGGAAAGTCCTCCCAAGTTGGACTTTGAAGGCAACATAGTGGCTGACAAGAAGAAAAACGATACCCTCAGGAAATTGTTTTCTATCGGCATCAAAAGGGACGAAACCGGTGGGAAAGGAGGCAAAGGCGGAAAAGGAGGAAAGGGGGGTAAAGGTGGCGGGAAGTGCGGTGCTAAAGGTGGGAAGGGGGGTAAGGGAGGGAAGGGAACTCCCGGGGTTATCGTAGTGGAGTGTAACGCTAACAGTGATAGGACGTCAGTGTCACCTCTCAGGGACAGATCCCCCTCCCCTCTTCCTCCCCCTCCTCCTCCTCCGACTGAGAGGATTCCCTCCCTCCCTCCTCCGAGTCCTCCTCACAAACCAGAGCCTTTCCCTGCGTCTCTCATGTGCAGGATAGACCTCAGCCGGTTGAGTCACATACCTAACAAAAGACGTTCCGAGGAAGTGAGGACTAGAACTGAAATTCCTGACACTAGGCAAGAAGAGAAGAAAAGCAAAAAGTCGGAAAAACATAAAAGTAGAGAAAAGAAGAAGAGTAAAAGTGAGTTGCCTCCGGTTCCGGAAGTGCCTCCAGTTGTACCAGCCGCTCCTGTTGAGCTGCGCAAGTGGCCTCAGAGTCCTCCCCACACCAACCTGGAGACAGAGGCAACCCCTCTGCCTAGGTGAGAAATACAATCTTGTGTGTAAATAGTAATAGTCTTAAGTATTAGTCAACATAATAGTAGTCTTAGCTGTTACTTTTACATTTTAAATCTTATAATCATTTGAACTGTCCTCTGTGAATGAATACTTTTTTTAACATTGTATCACTGTCTGTATTGCAGCGGTGTGGTAGTGAAGCGTGAGCGACGACCAAGCGTCAGTTCCTCGTCTTCACGAGACTCGCGTGACCGCTACAAGAACAAGCGGAAACAAGAAACCAGCAAACACTCGGCCAGGGTATGTAACAATATAATCTTTCTCTTACTGCTTGCGAGTCTGAAATGTGTTATTTAACGTTCAATTTTATTCATAAATGATTTTGTTGTTTTGACAAACGAGACTATATAGGACTGTGGTATTGGAAATGAGTTATCTTGATGTTTGCCAATGAACAAAGTCGTATGAATTTCAAAATATTTGACTTTTTACCTGCTATGTTTTCTTTGAAGCAACCTTTCGTTTTTCCAGTAATCTATAGATAACATGCTGCGTTTACGGTTCATGTTTCACACTTGCAGAATATTTTCTGCTTAGACCTGAATACCCGTCAGCTCACTGAACAAAAACTATTAGTAATAAAAATAAAAAATGTACTCTTAAAACAATCAAAAATTTGTATTTTATCGCTAAAAAATTTACATGATCAACATCCTACCTTGCTCACATGTAGTTTTAACAAAGATCTGTCAAAATGGTTCATCTCATCACAAAATGAAATAGTTATTTGAACCTTTTCCGTAAATTCACTACCACGAGGTATTAGAGCAATAGATTATTAGCAATCAAAGTGGTAGTAAACTAAACGTTGGTTAGGTTGGGTTAGTATAGAATTTAACATTGAGTTAGAAAACCCTAACCTAACCTAACTTAACCACATTCCACTAGTGGTAGTGAATTGTTAACAAAGGTCCAGTTATTTTTATGATTTGTAGGTTTACAATTATTGTAATATTATCGGTTTTGTTGCAGTCCGGCCCTACGCCCGCCCCATCACTGCCCCCCACCAATCACGAGCGGCAAGAGCCGTCCCGAGTCTACTTCTCGTACTTTGAGGCAGACGAAGCTGAAATGTCCGACACTGACAAGTGAGTTTACCAAATTAAGTTTAACATTAGTCTCCTTTTTGAAAATAATCCTATTTGGAAACCATAGTACTGGGCTATTCAAAAATGAATATGGATCCAACTTCATGACATTGATTCTCAAAAAGTATAAATCGGGCAGACATAAACTTTATACCATTCAAAATAGGAAATTTCAACGTTTTTTACCATAGTTCTGTAAATGGCCAAAAATGTTATCGTAACAATTGTCAGCCATTTTGTTGTACCATCAGTTGTTAGTAAGATGGCTTTGCAGCATAAGATTTTCTGTGTTACAGAGTCTGCAAAAACTGAGTCTCCTATTACAGTGCAGCGGGCTTTTCACCTCGAATTTGGTATACAACCGTCGACTAGAAAAAGCATAACTCGTTGGTTTAGGCAATTTCAAGAAATTGCAGCAGTGCAATCAGTGATACCATAGACAAAAAGAATTAAATATAGACGGTCAGCTGTGCTGCGGTTACTATAGCTTCTGGCGCACACCGCTTGGAGCGCCATGTATTTACGGCGTACGCGCTACGTAAACTACAGCGGTGTGCGCCGGAACCTATGGTAACCATGGTAACCCCAGCACGGCTGACAGTCTATATTTAATTCTTTTTGTCTATGGTGATACATGAGATGCCGTCTCGTTTGTGGGACAAATTCGGCTATCGCTTAGATGTTTGCCATGCAGCATAGGTGGGACGTATTGAGCATTTATAATCAGTGTAACTCAAACTTTGAAATTTTCTCTTTTTAATGGTGTTTTTTTTCCAAATTATACTTTTCAAGATATTTTTGAATAGCCCTGTATAATATTGTAGAATAATGGTCTTCAAGCAACTCCCATTACTAACATGATGAATCACTAACATAAAGAATATGGTGAAGAATAGTGTTTTGTCGTTGTGTTAAACATCGTTCAAAGCCTATGAATCTAAAAATGGGTATATCCCTGTAAGCCTATCTAGGAAGACTTGGTAATGTATAATTAAATTACCATACTATTTCTGTCGAAAATTAAACACACTTGACTCTTCACATTGATAATTTAGTGTCGGTTTATTTATTTTTTATCAATTCAATAGCCAAAAGAATGCTTTGCCAATTATCTATTGGTAAAAATTCCCTGGCTTAAACTAAAATGTATTAAACTTTCAAGGTCAATTATGCCGTCTAATCTTGGTCTTTAAGATGATTTTGTCCTCTACTAGCTAAATACTCAATGACATATGGATGTGTCGCAGCAATCAGTTTGGTAAAACTACAATTCAACTGAAGGGGAACCCAGACACATCTGAAACGTTGTTAAGTCTTGCTTGAGGCATGAAGACAGTGTTTGTGTTGCGTGGGAATAGCTTCTGGTGTTTATCTCTCACGTATCCGTTTTGTTTACAGAGACCAGTACCTGTTGGAGGCTAAGAGACTGAAACACATGGCAGACAGAGAGACGGACCACACGGCACAGTGTATGCAGTACCTGGAGGCTGTGCTGTTCTTCCTCCTCACCGGCAACACCATGGAGAACGAGAGACCGACCAATGAAAAGGCTCCGTACACCATGTACAAGGACACACTGAATCTTATCAAGTATGTATTCGGTATAGTGATGTGTCAAAACCGAATCTGAAATCTCAAAACCATCAAAACTTAGGAAAAGTTTTGGTTTCGAGATTCGATCACCAAGTTTCGAGATTCAAAAGTTTCGAAATTGAAGATTTTGGCAGTTTAATTTTGAAACTGCTGACATTTTTTTGTGTCATTGTTATTGTTTTTAACACTGTTTCCAAACAAGCTGGTAGCAACAGAGCAAATATCACCATTAACACTATGAAACAAGTAAATTTTATTCTGAACTTCAAAAGGTATCTTAAAATCTATAACTGGTACAATTCAGTTTAACATCAATATTTACTAAACACAAAGAAATATTGACCACTAAATGTTCTAATTAATCTAATATTCATGTTTATGATGGTGTTATAAGTTTAATTTATTTGTTGTTGTTGGTTGTTTATAAAAAATTATGTTGTATTGGGTTTTAAGATTATCAGTCACTGTTATGTCACGGTTAGGAGGAGTCGATCTCTTTCAGTTTTGATTGCATACTTAACATTTTATGATTATGTGTATTTTTTGTAACCTTGACCTTTGTAACCAGCTAAGTAAAAAAGTTTCCTGTTTAGGTTTTGAGATTCGAAATTTCTGGTTTTGACCATCACTAATTTGTTAGATTATAGCTCTAGTACCACATAAAAGGTTAGGATAGGAGTATTTGTGTGGTCTAAAAATATTTTCATGAAAGAGTAAATTGATGCCTATTTTGGGGTCTGCGTGTCCCTGATATTTTCAGGTTTGTTCAGGCCAATTTTCGGGCCAAGCTGGAGTCAGGTCATTTATGTTAAAGTTAACTCAGGAGTCCAGCTGAGCAGAGCTTTATTTTCACGATCGCAGAAAGTGTATGTGAATATGTACAAGACGATTACATCACGGTCGCAGGTAATGTACGTACACAGCTTTGCTGTAATCTGATCTCTTACTGGAAGACAATGATAATTGAGCTGTCTGGAACCTTACTATGCTTAGTTTATTTTAAATTTTGTCTTTTTTCAGGGTGGTCTCAGATATAAAGGATATTTAAAATTAAGTGACTTGTAGATTTAAATTTATCTAAAAATTACATTTGAATAAGAATTTGTTATTGTGGTTTTTGTTTTTAGACAGAGGGAGCTCAAGGAAGGAAGACAGAAATAGTTTCAGAAGGATAAAAAACTCATTTTCATTATGTTCTAAGTGTTTATACTACAGACTTGTTGTATCCTATTGTCTGATGTTAAGCTTAAAAGTTTTGTTAAACTCTCTATAGATACGATTAATAGATGTTATTTTGATAAATAAACCTTTTTCAGGTACATTTCCAGCAAGTTCCGCAGTCCTGGATCACAGCCTCATTGTAGTCTGCATAACAAGCTTGTGGTGCTAAGGTAAAGAACTATACTAAGATTTACTTAACAATTAATTATTATTTAAACCAAGGCTTAATAACAAAATTGGTTGTTTCTAGTTCAAAGGTTGTCATACTCATAAGAAAAGTATGCTATCATAGTACATTGACAGCCTTCACTTATTAATGTTTATTTTCTCGCAGCCTACGATGTCAATCGCTGCTTCACCTCAAGCTGTTTAAGATGTGTCGCCCAGAAGTCAAGGAAAACCAGAAAGTTCTCAACGAGTACCTGCAAAAGGTGAGGTTCTACAATTTTCCAGTACTAGTCTCATCTTTAATTGTCAAACTTTGTTGCTTTTGGGTTTAATCAAATTTATTAAATCATCAATAAGTTGATTTACTACAAGAGAAGAATCAATACATTGACAATGGAATAGAAAATAGAAAGTGCCGTTTATCTTTTATAAATAAGAATACAATCTAATTCTGTATGAATCCATAGGCTAATCCGCCGACCACCATAGAGGTGGGTGGAGGTGGCCAAGGCACACCTTCCCCTCTCTCACCCACACCTAGCCCCGCCGGCTCCGTTGGGTCTGTCGGGTCTCAGAGTAGCGGCTACAGCAGCGGGGCGCCTCCCACTCTGGGACCCTTCGTCCCTGTCCCCCCGCAGATACATCGGGACATGCAACGGCAGAACAATCACTTCAACACGCTGGTCGCCAGCTTCGACCTGTGGGACCAGGCAGACGCTCTTGTCTACAAAAACAAACACAAAGGTAAATAATATTAACAAGACGGAAGAACCTTAACTCAAAATGACCGTGAGACCGAAAAAGGTGAGGTAACATGGAGAATCGATTGATTTTTTGGTCGGTATGAAAAAAAATGGTAACGAAAAGTCGGCAATTCCATAAGAGTAATCTGGTAGACACTCTGAAAGTTTTATGTATCATGTTTTTTTGTTAATTCGTTACTCTATTTTAATGTGTTCCAATCGTGTCCATCATTGAGAGTCAATTGTAGTGATGTATCAATCGGCAGGAAATGAGTCTTCTGACTAGTGCCACTGTCTTTCACCAGATTTTGTATCATGGCGATGGGGTATGATCTCAATTGATCCGTATACTAGGAGTTCTACTGTACTATGTATCGATTGATTGAGTTGGGGCTTTGGAGATTAATTGGTGGACTCATTGGTGTTCATGACGTTAACAAAATTTAATTCTTGTTTATTCAACAAAATCTAAGCCTACTTGTCTTTATTTTGTGGAATTTTTGTAAATCAAGGCTAAATAAACAGATGATATGGCAAGTTCAGTAGACTCCCTCTCATCCGGACATCGGTTTAATCGGACTAGATCGGCAGGATGTGGGCGGTACTGAAACGACTGTTCTATGGGGAATGATTTGACACCAGTGATTACGTGTCTAAATACAGTTCTCTCCTAAATTTAAGTTAAATACTGTATACAAATACTGCATTTCAACTATCTGTTGTAACAAGATTTTTGGACGTCGGTTAACCGGAAAAACAGTTATCTAAACTGACCTTGGTCCCAAGGAGTCTGGATAGGAGGGAGTCTACTGTAACAAAGCTGCACTTACCTTGCATTATTATTCTGCTTAAAACACATCGCTGTCCAACACAAGCCCATCCAACAGCCAACCAAGCATTGCTGTCTTGGAGAATTAAATTGAATCATATACAGTAGTCCAGAGTTGGTTTACTATAGACCAAACTTCACCGTGTTATATTTGTTGCAGATTTCTTCATCGAGCTGGACAGAGTGTGTGGCCCACTGACGTTGCACAGCTCGCTCATCGACTTGGTTCGCTACGTTCGTCACGGAATCAGCAGACTGAAGCAACTTTAAGCCCAAATATTTTCTCCGCCTCGCACACAGTTACCCTCGGGCATTTTTTATGTTACGGAACTCCGAAACTTTCGTAACTACCGGACGCAAAATCATTAAACGATGGAATGGTCGCACCATTGCTCAAAAGTGAATTTTTACGTTTTCGTTTAGCATTTGGTATTGTATTAATATTATTTCCTATTTGTTATATGTTTTAGCCTGTATTTACTATTTATTTATTTATTTCATCTTTAATGAAGTCTGTCGGTTTAGAACCGCTGGAAGACACCAACATTGTTTTGTTTTATTTGTTGATTTGTAAATGTAGAAATTCCTAAAGAGTTATGTTTTAGTTTTGAGTATAGCATGAGTAAAGAGTTTATCGATCGAGTGACAAATTATACTAAATGCAATGCAAAGTTTTTATCATAATGAAGATTGTTTAACCTGTTTATTTGGAAGGAAGTCCAAGTTCTGTCTGTTAAATTGTCGTCTTCCTTATTTAATTTTTTATTGTTTCCTTGCTGTATCTATCCTTGAAATAATTTTACTGGAAACTATTTTGAGCCAAGTTGGAAAATATTAGCTACAATGCTGAGCCAGTCTCAAAAACTTGATCTTACTATTAATTACTTTACTACTGATGGACGTAAATTTGTACTGATTGATAATTGAGAGTTCTGACAAATGGTGTATGTTAATCTTGTCTGGGTTTCAAAAATACACACTAGAGTCTATATTTTATTATTTTTGAATGCCAGACAATGTTAATACTTACAATTGCATTACAATTTACCTACATGATTTTATAATCATTCTAATTTTTCTTCAAACAAAGAGGAAAAAAATTTATTGGTTGATTTTGAAACCGTCTGAGGTCTATCAAAACCATAATCATATCATCAACATTTTCAAAAATTATATTTTTCCAACTTGCTTGAAATTTTTAATGGCCATTTCCGTAGGGACCACATCATTAAAGTTGTTCACCAAACCAACATATTAATGTAATTTTAACCTGTACATTTGGCTTCTCTTTTCTTTTGTGCATTCAACTAAACATAATAATTCAGCCACGTACAAATAATTTATAGATAATGTGAAATGTACATAGTATTGGACTAGTGTAGGTTTGTTCATGGGTCAAGTTATTGATTAACTAATTTAAAAAGGTAATAAATATTAGTAAAGTTTTTAATTATGATGCAATATTGCCATTATGAAATTGGAACATATTATGAATTTAAGTTTCTTGAAGTGCTGTCTCTGAAATAATGTTAGTCTTTTTTCTTAAAGAATTTTTAACATTATTTTTAAATTTCTGTTTTAAAAAATTAGTTTTTTAATAAACTGGATGGACGTTGAATCTTCTCAGCAAGTGAAATCCTGCATTTCATAAATTATTTTTAAATTTTAATTAGGTACAGTATTTTAAGAGTTTTTGAATAATGAATTGTGTTACAAAAGTGTTTTTTTAATGAACAGTACAATCTTTGTGGTTGAAATTTTTTACATTTTTACATTTTTATTTCATATTGTAAGAGAATAACTGTATCGTGTGAATTTTAATTGAATGTATTCAAAATAATTGTTTAAGGTTTAAAGTGAATATTTAGTAATAGTTATTGATGAAAGTTTTGTTCATATTGTTAATATTAATAAAAGTAATAAGTAAAATGAACCTGTTCTGTTATGTTTGCTTGTTCAAATTTGTTAGCTTACTAAATATTTATATTGTATATTTTAAAAAGATTTTAAAGTTAATACTTTAATCACATCTTAACTTAAATACTTCAAATATCTGTCTTTACATTACAACCTCTTTAATTTCCTACTGTGAAATCGTAAATTAATATTATAGTTTTGTTTCTTTAATATTGAGATTAAATAAAAAGATTCTTGCCCTCACATATTTTGCCATTGACTTTGGATACTGAATGCTAAAGCTTGATGAAACTAAACTGAGGTCAAATTGTTTTAAGTTTTTTTTACTCCTAATGGCTTTAACTTTAAGATGATAATAAAAGGTTATATTTTAAGAATTAAAGTCTCTTTGAATAGGCTAATAAAAAAAATTATGTTTGTATCTTTATTTATAGTTATTGGATCACAAATACTTTCAAACTGTTTTATATGAAATATTTTTTCAGATTTAAATTGTACCTCCATTCAGGATGTAAAATATACAGAAACATATGATAAAAATTAAATTTGCCGTCAGGCTAAATACTATTTTATATGACATATATTTTCAAATTTAAATTGCACCTCTATTCAAAATGTAAACTATATAGAAACATATGATAAAAATTAAATTTGTCGTCAGGCTAAATGTTAATTAGACTACAGTAAAATACATTTGAGTTGCTCACTAGAAATTTAGTTATTCTATCTTTGCATCATTTTGATTCATCCTTTTTTATTGCATTGGAAAACTGTAAGTGCAATAGAAATCTAATACAATTTTGACACTGTTTTCTGCATATTTACGATTATGTTGGTACAATAATGTTGCAATAAATTTCATTAGTTCTTATTTTGACAAATTAACGACAATTAACGTGTTAGTAGTGTGAAACATTTTACCGATGTTGATTTCTGGGCTCAGGGACATGTTTAGAAGGTACAAATCAATGTTTACATAATCAGACTTTATTTCAATGCTTGAGAATTGGTTGTGCCTTTTTTGTATTGGTTGTGCTACTTTTTTACATGAAGTGGTGCTGTGCTTAGTTTTCACGCAGTTCTAACATAAGCCAGGATCAATTGAGGAAACCACTTAGGACATTTAGATGTATGGAGTTATTTGACAAAATCATGTTGATTTGACCATAGATATGTTTTATTAAAGTGTATAGATATGTTACTTATTTTCTAAATAATTGACAATCATTTTCAATATGTGTTTATTTCAAATACTTGTACCGTTTTGATTTTCTAGAGAAATTGTTATTAAAAAGAAAACTTTACTTTTAAACAAAAGTGGATTTAACAAGACTTTCTGAATATTTTTTAAAAAAATTTATAAAATAGCTTTATTCACAAATATTTGAAATTTCAACGATTAAGTTCGGCTGATATTATTTTACCTTGCATTTTCCTTTCCGTATAGGCCTCGGGCCTGTGAGTATCAAACAAACTAAAGGGTTAGCAAACAATATGGTAAATAATTTTCTGTTTTTTTTTTTTTTTTAGTTCAACAGAAAATATACCTGTTAAACAATAAATTTCTATCAAAATAACTTAATTTACTTGTTTTCCAATCAGTGAAACAATAATAAGAATAAGTCTACCCCAAATTATATCCAATTCACTAAAAATATTTTTTTAAAGATTTATTTAAACTTTTTTCATTACATTGTATATAATGTAAAGGGTTTCCTCTGACTAAAGCATCACTGTAAAATTAACATCACAAGATTAATGTGAACGCCTGAAATTTTAGGATGTTACGACATAATCGTAACAACTTTACAAATCAAATTTAATAACTTTTCTTTCAAATGAGCAGCATCCTGATAATTTTTCTTAGTTTGATACCATAACATTTTATTAAATAAGTATTTACTACATAAACCTACCTTTCAATAGTTTCATATTTTTATTTAATTACATTTTACCGTGCTACACTAGTTTTATAAAGTTTAAAATAATATTTTCCTTAAATCGAAAGCAAAGAACTCAAGTTTTTAGTACAGATTTAATCGGTAATATTTTATACATTATTTTACTGCAACCTTTCTATAAAAACAAAAACAAATATATAACAGTTTGTGTTATGTTAAAATTTTCAAGTTATAATTTTTTACTGTGGTCCTCGCATTAAGTGTAACTTGAAATACAATCCTAACAGCAATATTGAAGGATGTTTCGATGTTTATTCATATTTGACATACAAGTTTTCTATGAGATTATTCTAAGTACTTGCCTTCTTCCATGGAATCACGTAGCCGTTTAGTCAGCAAATGATTTGTCATTTTCTCTCTTGGTTCTTCCAGTTTTTTGCATGGTTATGTCGAGTCCCTACCTAGGCGTTTCATTTCCCACAATCCTTTGTGTTTCCGGAGTGAATAACGTCTCTGCGATTGCGCAGACAAGTTTAGTTCCTTGTGTTCTAACGATCACGATCAGTCACGTCTGCACGTGATGTTCGGTTTTCGCTGATTTACCATATTTCGTGTTATCGGATATTTTATCATATGAATATATAAGTTTATTTTGTAAGCGATGTATATTGATGAATCAAAGTGTTTAAATATACATAGATTATCTAGTGGGGTTATATTTAGCTGTAATATGTATATTTTTGTATATATCTTGACATTTCTATATCGTGTAGTGGCAGTTTGTTTACGTAGAACGGAAGACAAACGTGTTGTTGTTCCTTCTTGTCAGTTTTCGTTGGCTGTACTTAGATCCGAATTAGGCCAAAGTACTTTAGTCTGTTAGTTTTGTTTGTACATTTTGTTTCTCAGTGTTGAGTTTTTCCATTTTGTTTCAGTTATGTTTGAACTAAGAAGGAATCACAAACGTCTGTTTGGTTCGATGAAATGTATTATGTATGAATAGTGGCTGATCCACTCGGAGTTTAGATTAAAGATATAATATTTATTCAAAATACAAACTGTGTCTTTTTACAAGCCTGTGTTATTCTTTCCATCACCATTTGGCCATTTATTAAATAGATTAAATATATTTTTTAGGGTTCGTTGCTAGCCTAGTGATTAGAGCAGTTTGGTTTTGGTTTGCTTTTTTCATATTTTGAGTTCATTTTGTACTTGTTTGACGTAGCCTATTGTAGAAACTTAATGGCCTAATAAAATTGTTTAATCTTTGAGTATGAGACTTTGGTGCAAGAGGGACAGTTTTAAACCCAAGCATATCTACACTAAGTAGTGGCTTTGAACAGCTTTCCCTTTCAAGCCTTTGAGTATTCTCAAATACAAAATGCTACTGGCGTTGAACTTTGAAAATAAAAAAACAAAGTAAGTAAATTGTTTAGGATTTTTTGAGGATAGCCGGCTAACCTGAATGGGAAAGAGTCGGAACTGGCCCAGGAAACATTACACTATATACACAAAACATTAGAATATTTCACTGTCACTGGCAGCATTTTTAACTAAAGAAGAGAGTGTTTTGTTTTCTTTCGACATATCCAAAATGGTGGACAGCTGTTGAGATGCTGTCAGTGAAGTGGAATATTCTAATGGTTTGTGTATAGTGTAAAGTTTTATGTTTCCTGGGCCAGTTTGGACTCTTTCCCATTCAGGTTAGCCTGCTATTCTCTCAAAAAATCCTAAAAACCTAGGCCCTTGTGCTCTATGTAACCCTTAAAGTAAGTAAATTTTGATTTTTAAAGACTGTATACAGTATCCTATTTAGCAGAGTGGTTACAGATCTTTTACATTCAAAGTTTGCTGGTTTGATTGTGGACAAAGATGGCGTTGTTTATTTTCCTGATTGATGCTATTTAATTACAGGTCACCACTGGATTACCATGGCCTGGGTTTGGACCGTTCCTGTTATAAAATACATTAGAAAATGCCCATGACATTAGGAAACACGAAAGGCCTTGTGTATGTAGAAGAAATCGCACACGTCTGTGACCTGCGTGAATTGTCCAGTTTCGTCTTACACTCAGATATGACGTCACACGTCGTAAACTGCACATTTACAGGTTCCGTGTTTATCAATCGTGTTGCAATTCAGTTTTGTTTCTTAAATATATGGTTTACGTTTACAATGTTGACATTAGATTAAAAGAACCTCAATAATATCTTATATATTATTGCATATTATGTCCTCACCTGGTTGTGGAGCACATGTGAAGCAGACACTGTTGAGCATTTTATGTGTTATAGTTGTTGAAAATGAAAATACATAAAAAAAATACTATTGATTATTTTCATTTATATGTAGGTTTGCTATAAATTTGTTGCTTTTATTTTTATTTAAATAAGAAATAAATTGTTTTAAATTATCTGAGGTCTGTCATATCAATCAATTCTGTATGTGAGTGTTTATCCGTCGTGATGAAAAGTATTGTTCATAACTTGTACCGAGAGTGATTTTCCGCCACTTGCTCCAATTACTCCCATCCTCGGCTTCGCTTTTTACGTGAAATTATTTGGTGTTCGTGAAACTTCAGCACGCTCCAGAAAATGCCACTTTCGGTACTAGTAGTGATGAAACATTAGCCTATTAGCTTCCAAACAAAAATTACAAAGAATTTGTTTCAAGATAGTGGACTTAAGTAAAATATTCTGCTAATTTGTTATAATCTCTTACCCTAAATAAATAATAAATAAAATTAATCTATTGGGTGTGTTCGACAAAGTTTGGAAACAATAAAAAATCATTCATTTTATACATTATTGGAAACATGCCCATACTCCAAATAATTATTTGGATTTCAAGCTATTCATGTTGTTTTTAGCTACTACAATTTCATTATTAAGTTCCATTTTTTTAGTTTATCTCAGTCAGTGCCGTTGGTTGGGTTATGTGTTGTAGGCCTACATGTTTAAATGTGTTATTCGTTGGTCGGGTTATGTGTTGTAGGCCTACATGTTTAAATGTGTTATTCGTTGGTCGGGTTATGTGTTGTAGGCCTACATGTTTAAATGTGTTATTCGTTGGTCGGGTTATGTGTTGTAGGCCTACATGTTTAAATGTGTTATTCATTGGTCGGGTTATGTGTTGTAGGCCTACGTGTTTAAATGTGTTATTCGTTGATTTATTTTGCGTGTCACAATGTAAATATTTTTGTATTTGAAATAACTATTTTGATAAAATGTTTCTGCTAACCACTTGAGAATGCTATATTTGGCGAAACATGTAATGGACTTCAAACACTATTTTTGGACTGCAAGACAGGGTACTTGATAGTTAAGTCTACAATTTCATGTTTTATTTCTTATCTATTGATCCTAGAATCTCCATAATTTCTTCACTTTCACTTTCAAAGTTGGCATAAGAGTGTGTATCCCCATTTGTAGATGTCGGAAAACTCTTGAAAGTTTTAATAATGTTGTTATAAACCAGATCTTTGGCAAGTGAAGAGTAACAGAAGTCCATATGGTTAAACCGATGGTCTGTTATTTGTCTGACGCTTTTCACGTTTGGCATAAGTTTCACTGTAAACTGTACATCCTGGGAAAAAAATAATTTGTTAGTTACTAGAATCAGCACTGTTTAAAAGGTAAAAACAATATAAGATGTTATTTTAACCAAATTATAAAATTTCAATGTGCATTGTAAACACAGAACACCTCTTAACAAATTTTCTAGGTTTATTCACCCACAAAAGTAAGATTAAAAAACTGAATATTTTCACATCTTAGTCCATCCAAATATTTCATTAAAATGAGTTTTTGATAGAAAAGTCTAACTCGTGAATATAAGTGAGAATAACAGGTAATCAGGAAAATAAGCGAGGGTTGTCAAAACACATCCGACCTGTGTGTTGAACCATATTTTTTCAAAGAAAACCGATGTTTGGATGTGTTACGTGGCTGAAGCAAAATCCTTGAAAGCAGATTTTTCTTATCTTCTATGAAAAAACCATAGCTTTCCAAATATGTATTATGTTGTATGTATTATGTTTCCCAGTCAATTACCGTACATACATATTTCAGCCTTTTGCTAAATACTTAGTGTTAATAAAACTATCTAATTGGCCAGGTTAGAATACTCGTCAGACCTACAGGGTCATCCTGTAATAGGTAAGGCAAAATTCTCAAAACACTTTTACGAAGGTGAGGATGATATAGCTCCTGAAAGTTAATACCGCTCTGAGCCTTCAATAAATCAATTAGTTAAAACTGTGAACCAGCTTTCGTATCGACCCCTTGATTTAATCGGCCCCTTATAAGCATTCTGGATAACAAATTTGAGTGGGGCTAATTCTAGAGGTAAGACTAGCCTGTTTTTGTGAAAAAATTCAATTCCCTTGAATTCATGTCACATGTTGAGGAAGTAATTGATTGATACAATTTTAATTAATTTTGGGACAGTTGCAACAATTTTGAAAAGTTGGCCTATAGATGAAAAATTAAAGTTGGATTGTAACAGTGACTTTTGGATATTAGACCCAACTTTGTCGACCACATCTGTGGCCAATTTTTTATTAAACACCCCCGCCATAGCAAACCTGCAGACTAAGCGAATTTAAATTTGTCTGATAGGATTTTTACTAATATATTTCCATAAACAAAACATTTATTGCCCATTGTTTTAAAATATTTAAGGTACATTTAAGGACATAGTTAAATGAATCACTCATAGAGTGTATTGTTGTTGTATCCAAAAACATAGATATTCTTTTACAAGTTATATGGTTTAAAACTTAAGAATATTTAAAATCCATGATTGATTTTACCACCATTGTAGATCAATTTTAATTAAAAACTCACCTTCGGCACTGCTAGCCAGTCGTTCACAGAGGTATGCATGTATATCGGGGCTGTTACCCGAGACAGATTGTAGGTCGGGGGTGACTTTTGGCCATATGTCCCCAAGTTACCCTCGTCTCCATAGTCATACTGAGCAAAGTCTGTAATGTTAATTATTGTTGATGAGTATTTTTATATTAGAGCAACCCCATCCTCATTGCCGGTAGCAGGAGAGTTTTTGAGGGGCTCCTCCTTAGGCTGATGGTCTTAAAAAAATATAATTTTAATCTACAATTGGATAAAATCAAACCTACAATTGAACTATATCATTTTCTGTAAATTTTATTTGTTATTTAAGATTGGGACAGGATGAATAACTACCGAATAACAGTACCGTAAAAGCATAGCACCTCATGTGGGTTCTTTAAACTAAGCTAGCCCCCTACCAAAAAACAAAACAAATACACAAATATTTATTTTTAGGTCCTCGTGTTTGTAATACTCAAAATTAATTACTACTCCAATGAAAAAATGTCTCTGCACTAAGGTTACAAAAGAATAGTTAAATGTTTAGCCTACCGTTAAAAGTGCACTAATATCTAATATCTAGGAATAAGTTTTAAAATATAATGTAAATACACATTAAAAAACTTGTAATTAAAAGTAATTAAAGTAGTTTTTTAACTTATATTTGCATTATTTTTCAACTCCTGCAAAGTGACCGATGCAATATCAAAACATGCATGTACTGCAGGTTTCACATCTGTACAACTGCAGGCTGTTTTAAATGTTATCCTATTTTCTTTTGTGGAAGAAAATATACGAAAAAAAACATATTAATATTTTTTTGCCATTAACTGTGTACTTTGAACTACGTTAATTTTAATACTTTTGACAGATTTATGAATTATTTTATGATACATGATTCCATTTAACTTGTGTTCCTAAGTAATTTAGCTATGACAAAATTAAATTAATTTTTTACAAACATAATTTGTAATATATTTTTAAAAAATACTAGTAATAGGTTTCGTCACTAAATTAAAATTGTTAAAAGATTATTAACTTCTTACACATGAATCAAAGTATTATCTGCTGTAACAATCGTATTTTGTTTCTATGTTTCACTTTTAAGTACTGTAGAACATACACGTATGGATTCATATGCAAACTTCTGAATATTATAATACTGTAATAATATTTAAATAATTTTAAAGTTATAAAGATTTGTGAAAGAGTAATTTATTTCGATAGAATCAACTAGTTTTCTAACCAATACTTGGGGCTGGCTGTAATATTTTTATATTTTTCTTTTAGATACGGTACTTAAATAAATTTATTGTGACAACTAAATGTTTGTGACAATGTGTTTTGTGTGTGATTGTGTTTTTCTTGGGAATGGTCAAGCCACAAAACTGTGGTTGTCAGGAATCGTAAATAAGAAAAAAAAATACCTTAAACACTGTATATTATAATTATTTTACCTTTTTCAATTATCTGTCTAAAATGTTCAAATGTCTTGAAAGATGTTCCAGCTGGGTAAAATTTCCGTATGTGTGATATCGGAACCTAAAGTTTACAGAAAACAAATAACCTTTAGTATGATTAACAATATGAAGAAATATTCATTATTTGTTAAAGTCACTATCACGGAAATATTATTTATTTTATTTTATTATTTATTTATTTTAAGCTTTGTGTTCCTTACGGATCAATGAAGAAAAATTAACAGTTAACTCTCTCATAGTATCAAAACACAATTACTTAGTATTTATCATATTGCTGATTATTTAAGAATGTTTTCTCCAACTATTAAAGTTAAGAGATTCATAAAAAAACTTGTTAAAAATTTAATCAATAAAAAACAAATAAATGGAAAAAACTATCCAAAAAGTTTTGTGAATGATAAAAACAATCACAGTTGCCTTAAAAATAATATGTGGTTTAAATCTCTGTGCTAACTTAATACTCTTAAACATTAACAATTTAGATATCACTGACACTTAAAAATCTATGAACTATCTTGTCCCTTACCCTGTCAATATCCTTACGGTGGAATCCGACAATCAACTTCATAAATTCTTCACAAATCTGAAGCTTTTTTACTGGCCAAAAATCACAAAAAGTCTTTTGAGCCCAGACTGACACCTTTGAGAGCGGTAAAAACTCACGAGTCATGTCAGGAAAAAACACTGGCTGCAAATAAGATAAAGTATTACCATTTATTCCTCTGAAAAATAAGTATATCTATATATATAAAATCCAATGTATGTTTGTATATTTGTATATTTGTATGTTTGTATATTTGTATGTTTGTCCTTTATGGACTCCAAAACCGCTCGACAGATTGTAATGAAACTTTCAGGCATTATTAAGTATTATTCAAGGATGGTTTGTGTGAAGTTTGGTGCAGATCCGTCAATAGGGCTCCGCCCCAGTGGCTCTGGAGTTTCCCATGTTAACCTTATGAGTACTCATATTTAAATGGAATTAAAGAATCTTAACAGCTGGTGCAACTAAACAATTTGATTCTATGATGTTCAATAGAATTAAAAAGTTAATAGGTTTACGAACAGGGTGCAGCACTATATTTATTTTTAATTTATGAGAACAGCTAATTTGCAACCAAAAGGTGAGTGAGCGTAGCGAACGAACATCAACCTGGAGGCGAGTTAGCGTAGCGAACGAGCTAACCTGAAGGCAAGTGAGCGCAGCGAACGAGCTCCAACCTAAAGGTGAGTGAGCGTAGCGAACGAACTTCAACCAGGACGTGATTGAGCCATGCGAACGAGCTCATCTTGAAAATGAACGAGCATGTGACATAAAACCACAATAGGACAGGACGACGTCTGTCGGGCCAGCTAGTGTTATCTAAAAGCTACAAAAGCAGGCTATAAAAGGCTTGCATTAAAAATGTGAATGCCTTATGTGACATGTGCTGCAATCTGGGAGTCAAGTCCGACAACACTTTGGCTTTTGGTTGACCAGTGTTGTCTGCTCGTCTCAGTCAGGTCTGGTGTGCAACTCTTGATGTTTTTACCTACCTGTGGCAGAAGTTGGTGGTAGAAGCCCAACTGAAATAATCTGTGGGTATGGAAGTTGATGAGACCCTTTGATATTCTTTGTAAATTAGACTTTAGTTTAGATATTTTGCTATTCATTGCAAATTGCATATATTTTCTGTGTGTGTAGTGTGTGCGTCCAACAAAAACTAATACAATTCTTTTCCTAATACAATTACAATTGTTGTGTTCACAAGATGGAAAAAAGCAGGATAAATAGATATAATCATTGACTATCGGTATGTATAATGAAAGCACTGCAAATCCATGGAGTTAAAAGGGTCCAAATACCCCCCCCCCCCCCCACTCTCCTGTGTGGTTTTCGGGGTTAGAATAGGACACACAGCCTACCGTAAAACGTGCAAAATCGCACACCAGCTTGACGTAAAAGGCGACTAAGGGGTTGGGATATTTTTTTCATGCTACAAACTTTCTCTGAAGTCAAGTTTACTTCTTTTTGTGTTGGTCCTCAAAATCTTTTGTCTCTATTGACGCGAAAGTTGGACATTGCACTGCCATGGGCAACCCCCGTTACTTGCATGATGTGCTGGCACTGAGCCTATTCCCAGTTATTCCACGCCCCATTGCCGCACATTGCAATGGCTCAAATCTCATGGATTTCCAAGAAGCACAGAGTGTTCGTTTAACAAGCAGTCAGAAGTGGTGGTGTTTCAGAGGGGTTAAAATACATGAACAAAGTGCATTACTGTCTAACCAAAGTGATTGAGTAAAGTGAAAGATATTACAAGAATAATTTGAACACTTACTGCAAGCCAGGTGGAAATATTTTTCACAAGATTCACAATAAGACTGGGAATATTCCAGGGATGTGCGACAGGAGCTACCAATGCTGCAGCCTCAACTTTGGACATGTATTCTGGTCTGGAAGCTCCCAGAACAAAAAACAGCGTGGTTCCCATGGAAAACCCAGTGAAGAGGAGTTTGTCTCGGTCGGTTGTTTGGAGAATGTAGTCAATAGCTGCGGGCAAGTCATAGTACCCCATATCATGGAAGCTGCCAAAATTATGGGTCAAAATTAGATTCATCAATTCCAACCTACCTAACAATCGTAAGCTCCAGAATATTAATATTAACATAACAAGAAAATGTCACCTGAAATCCCAAAACTTTTTGTCCAAGTCTGGATCAAGTCTAACATGTTTTCTAGAGAAAGTGTTTCCTCTCGAGTTGGCCAGCCACACATCAAATCCGTTGTCAGCAAGAAGGTATCCTGTCCAAAAACATAGGAGAAGATTAATCTATAAATTATCATATGGCTTTAAGTGAAGGAAACCTTTGATAATTTATCATTTGATAAATGATTTAGTTTTCCTCTTTGAGAAAGTATCTTTTTCTTAATAGATTGACAGACTTTGAACTTTAACTACCAGGTCACGACATTGGATATTTACAAAATCTAAATATTTTACTCATAGTCATCCTTACTACCAAAATTGGTTTGAAAACAATTTGGATGTTTGCATTCGTGAGGGAAAACATTTTAAAAATACCTATAGCCAACTCACAGAACAATCCTTGGATCTGAAAGAGTGTTAAGACATTAGACTTGTGAACAAATTAAAAATATATGTTTTCCATACTTTGGTTGATATTTGAAGCTTCCAAAAACAAGTCACTTACCGAGACTAAAAGGTTCGAGAACAAAATCTGCACCGGATTGTACCAGCCCATGCTGTAGAAGGACAGGTTTCCCGTTAGTGTTATTGTAGGGCTGCTGCTTGCCATGGGGTATACGGTGGTAAGTGAGGATGTACCCGTCGTCCGTAATAATGTTGTGGGTTTCCACCGGGTATCCATGCTGTCGAATGTGGTCTTCCTAGGATTTTGACTGGTTTTAGCTACTTTTTGACTTTTAAAAATCAATTATAAAGCGAAGAAGGAAAAGATTTTGTGTGGAAAAGATTCTTTTTTTGTGTGTGTTTTTCAAGACATTTTTATGTTTTAGCAACAATCCAAACGTTGGTCTTCTTGTTACTATCCAATGTCAACCTTATGTTAGAAAGCATCATTACTTACTTACTTACTTGAATATTTGTATTCTTAATCCTTGACTGACAATTGTCAGATAGATTGTGTCATGTCTTTTATGTATATTAAAATACTTAATTATTTTTAACTGTTTAAAATAACTATAAAAACTAATATTTACAATACAGTAGTTATTTATTGGTAGCACACAATAACAAACTGCATCTTGGTCTCTAAAATACTTGGAACTACATTGCAGGAACCTAGTAGTACGAACGGTGACACACAGGAGCGGGCTCTGTTCTACGCGAGACACTTGTGGTTTGATTACTGTTCAAATTGACGGTCAGTAATAACACATATTTATCTAAAACTCCGTTGTGACACCAAATGAAGGATTCATTTATTATTTCCTTTTAAAAAAATAATTTATGAATAAATAATCCTCTACAGACCAAGTTTTGAGTCTACTACTTATGACTATGGAAGCATACCTTCTATTTTTAGAAATTTAAATTATTTCCATTTCTGTTGTTTTTGCCTTCTGTTAACAAATTTATATGAATACTAGAGGTTAAAATACCTTTAATCCGTCAGTGTGATCAATGTCACTGATGAGCAACGACCGGTTTCAACCCAGCAATAGGGTCATCTTTAGGCGATAGAAGAACATAAATTGTCAGAAAGTCTGTAAATACATAATGAAGAACTACACTAAATACATTTTAACAAAAACGTATCTAGCCACAAGTCGGAGTGAATTTATGTCCTTCTATCGCCTGAAGATGACAAATGTTGTAGCTTCAAACAATTAAGTTACCAAGTTTGGAGGTTTCCATCGTGTCTTTAGAGAGAAACAGAGAGTTTGACTGAAAATTAAACTGAAACAGAAAGCATAAACTTGCCACATCTCCCAAGTTTGTAAAATCCATTGAGTTCATTTCACTCTGTTACTTTATAATACAACCTACTGTTCTAGCTCGCTTAGCGAAAAGATAAGCACAATATTTACTCTGATAATTAATTACGCTTCAGTTGGCGTCATCGTCTTTGAGATTGAAATTTTGTCATAAAAGTTGGAAAAGTCGTGTTTACATTAATAACACTGAGTAGATGCGGTTGTAAATTGGACTCTAAATAAGTTGTTAAGAAAATTTTATTAACTTGGGCAATATTTTTTTAGTACAAGAAAAACTAGCTTTTTTTGACTATTGATCGAAGCTAAGATAGGTTCACCTATAAATATTCATATGTTTTGTTTTAATCATACAAAATGTGTCAAAAACGTTGCAACATCTTTTGAAACACTTTTGTGACAATTAAAACATTGGGAACCATAACCTAAGTTAAATATAGATATAGATAAGTAATAAAAATTAAACACAAATTGTATAATTGTATTAGGTACAACAATCAGTACAACAGTTCTTTAAATAAAGTTTATTACCTACGAATCATTGTTTACAAATAGGTATATTTTGTACTAACGCTAAACAGCAGTCTATATCTAAGAATACTGCAAGGGCATGAAGAAAAATTGATAAAAAACACATCTGTATAAAATTGATTTGATGCTAGTTCAAAGACCTATGTATGCAGACAAGAAAACACTAAACAAATTATTTACAAATTATTTTGAACCATTTTTGCCAGCTATTTATTCACAACAAAACATTGGATATGCATCTCTCCCAAATCAGTAAGCAGGATTTTGATATGTGATCTTTTTTAAACAATTTCAAGAATAAAGCCTAAATTCCCCTATGTACATGAAAGTTACGTAGATCTTAACTGCAACTGATTATTTTAAACTATTCAGCCTCAGAATGATGTCATCATAGACGAGAGTCTTGGCGTCGTCGGCCCAACAGAAGTCTAAGTGATTGAAGTCTTTGTCTGGTACCTTCGTCACATTCTTTACGTTCGGAAGAAGATCCACCGTGTAGAGTACGTCCTAAAATACAATAATTATATCTTTAACTCCCCCAATAACAATGACTGTTTTAGTGTTCTATTAGAATGATTTTGAAATTTGAGGTTGAAGATAAGTAAATGTAATGAGAAGCCATTCACAGTCAGTGCCGGATTTAGGGTACTTGCGACCCAGGCCAAACAAACCCAAGCGGCCCCCTCCCCTTAGGAGGAATTTTCCCACGATCTTAGCAAAATTGTGAATATCTCCTGCGATCACAGGAACTTCATTGTTGTCACCTGTGATCGCGGCAAAATCATGGACATCTACCGGGATCACAGGGACATCATAATCTTTACCTGCAATTGTGGTGAATAAATAGTTTTAGGAAATAAAAATTCAAATTTTTTTCTTAAAAGATTGTTTTTATACAAAATGCTGTGGCCCGCTTTTGCATGGAGTCCTAGGCTTTGGCCTTGTCAGCCAAGGGTTCAATTTGGCACTGATCTCGGTAAAAAATTTGCTTCATTTTGTTGGCCACAAAATGTTGAGAAAGTTTCCACTTTCTATGAGAACTGTTGTAGACAAATTAGAAATATTTGTTGCTAATTCAACCTCCCAAATCCCTTGATTAAAGAGTAATCCTGAGATAACTCACCTCTGGGACAGAGAGCCAGTCACTATTGGCGTAGTAGATGTACAAAGGAGCCGTCACCAGGCCCAAGTCATACAACGGGGGGTCAAACTGTCCGTAAGCTCTGTAATTGCCTGTGTACAAGTTGCTGAGACTGTCGTAGTTGAAGTTGCGGAAATCTGTCTCTGAAATACACAGACAATTTAGACAATTTGGTTTCTATATAAGAGGTGAATTCTTTGTTCTCCTCTTAGAAGCTGAGAAAATAAAAATGCTTTAGCAATACTTAGACGTTTGCTAACAAGTCTGTACTAATTTGTTAAGTATTATCCTTGAAAAATTACCTTCACTGATTTGTCGAAAGTGCTTGAGGGTCTTAAACGATGCTCCGGCCGGCTGGTATTGCAGCATGGTTGATAATGGTATCTGTAAAAACATCCAACAGAAAACGTTACAAAAAATAAAATAGATAATTTGTTAAATATATGGTGAAAATAAATTTAAGAATTTCATTAAGTTTTCAATCTTGTAGGAATTTTTCATTTTTTTAACGGAACAGTTAAACTTTTTATTTTCGTCTCTTTTAGTGACCTCGCCAGAGGCATTTTGTATGAAAGTAACTCAAATAGGTTTCAAATCACTAAAATTGTATCCAAGTATGCTAGGGATCAAAACCCCAACCGACGTCTATTAGCAACAGACTTAAAACTATCTTTTTACCATCTGTCGAACTTTTGCATCATTGATAGCACAATGACAATATGGCATCTAGGCACAAAATTGACCCCACTTAGAATTGAAATAACAAACTTCAGAAATGAAGACAAACACTGACCACTTGTCTACCCAGAAATTTATAGAATAGTTTTCATTGAACCTGTTTTTTTAAGTGTTTACTAAACTCACTCTTTTCAATTCTTGTTCGTTGAATCCTCCGATCCACTTCATGATGTCCTCGCATACGTTCATCCACCGGAACATGGAGAAAGAGCAAAGGTTTCTCTCGACCCAAAGCATCGACCTGGAGTACGGGAAAATTTCATAGACTCCCGCCGTGGTTGCCAGGACCTACAAGAAGATCAAATTTAAAACTTCCAAAAATACATCGAAAATATGGAACTTCTTGTGATACTCTTGTAAGTGAATATTGCATAAATGTTATAGGCTAATATCAAAAACTTTCCCCGCACTGAAAATATAAAACTTTTTATTTACAACAGAGATGTTTTCTTCTCACCTGCAATACAAATCTATGTAACCTAGACTTTGCTCCTCAACAGATGGCTCACATTGGCTGAACGTTCGGATTAACAGGGTTTGATTAGCGGGAATCGGATTAGCAGAGTTTGAACTAGCGAGGTTTTGGAATAACAGGGTTGAATAACGGGGTTCGGATTAGGAGGACACTGGTGCTAGTATCAGCTACAACAATAAAAACTATTCAAACTCACAGATATAACAGAATGTAGCCTGCTGAGGAAGTTGGTCAATGGACTCTTGATGTGCCAAGGATAAGCCACCGGCGCCAGCAGCACTGCGGCCTCCACCTTGGCCATGTAGTCTGGCCTGGAGGCCCCCAGTACAAAGAACATGGTGGTGCCCATGGAGTGGCCAATGTAGAACAGTTGCTGATGTTTGGTCACATTCAGTATGTAGTCTATGGAGGCTGGAAGGTCATAGTAGCCCATCTCATGCCAGCTGCAAACATTATATGGGTTTATTGTAATTTATGTTTATGGAGAACACTTAAAAATTGTTTCAAGTAACTTCAAGAAAGGACACGGTTCAAGAAAATTGGTTCTTTTAATTTACGGTACGGTATGCTACAGTATAGCACATCTACCATAGCCATTCTACCACTGCACCTAAACAATAACAAAAGTGAAATTCTCATTTTCACAGCTTTTTTAAATGAAAAAAAATTAATAGTGCTGCACACTGTTGGTAAGCTTTGTGACTTTTTAATGCGATTTAATATCATAGCACCAACTTGTGTACTTGCAATAGCTGACAAAATTCTTTCATTCCCTTTAAATACTTATAAGGGGGCCACTGGGGCGTAGCCTGGACGGATTTTTGAGATAAGAATGCGTCTGTCTATATGTTAATCGGGAATGTGAGCTATCATCACACCAAATTTCAACCCTTTCTGACCAGTATTTTTGCGTTTACTTGTCACAATAACATACATACATCCATACATCCAAACTTTCTCACTTATAATATTAGTAGGATATTTCTGGATCAATCCCACCAGCGATGTACTTTGTTACATATTTTTAAAACGAATATGAATACAGCGTGAGTGTGAAATAGAATGAGATGATCTGTATCTTCTGTGTAACTTGGGAGATTTACCTAGGTCCATCCAAGTAAATGTCTCCTGAAAAAAGTCTCATGATTTGTGGATCTAAAAGAATTCATACTAAATGTTTAAATAAACAAATCAACAAATGTATAGTATTTTAAAACGTCCATCTTGACATCTCTGAGAAACACAGTAAACTACAGTACAACAATCAATCAAAGAAACTAAACAGAAAAATGTTGGACTTTTCATGTTTCTATGTGACTTAAATATAATTAAAACCTTTTGAAATCATTTTAGGAAAACTAAGTTTTTTCTTCTCTTTATAAAAATACATTTTTGCTACCTGAAGTCCCAAAAATCACGCTTATCCAGAACAGGATCCAAGTCCAAGTGTTTCTTTGAGTAAGTGTTTCCTCTGGCGTTTCCCAGCCACACGTCGAATCCTGCGTCTGCTAGAGCATAGCCTGCAACATATCCTAAATTAGATTACATGTCAAATTCTGAACTATATTTGGCATGACTTTGTATTGTGATTTTATCATCAGTGCAATCAATCAATAAAATTAAAATTATATATAAGACACATTTCACGAGTAAAACATCCTTCCAGAATCCAAAACTATATTATTGGCTATCAGGATTAATTTCGGACATATAAGATAATCAGATTATTCGAAGAAGTCTTCCACCCCACGGGTTCTGTTCACTAAAAGATTTTATTTATAGATAGGCCTACCAAAAGGATGTAGGAGTAGGAGGCAGGATTGAGTTCTCATCAATGAAAAGATCGGTAGAGGGGTAGTTGAAGACACCTTAAGAAGAAGTGAAAAAAAAGGTTTGGGCATGTGAGGAGGAACCGAGAAGAGATACATACATAGGTAAATTTAGGGAAGGACACGTAGAGAAATAAAATTAAGGTTGAAAAATAGGTGAAGAGAAATATAGAGAAATAATTGAAACAAAAGGATATTTTTTTACTTAAAGGAATTACTATTTTGAGTGGAATGATGATTAAAGTGAAATTAAAATAAAATCTTTGTTTACCATCTTTAAAAGAGTCACTTTTGGTGACTGTACATCAAAATAAGGTAAGGGACTAAATTGGCTATGCAATGCCTGAAAAATAACAGTGTAAATTAAACTATCGTGGTCTTCAAGGTAAAACAATCTTAGGTAACTTGGGCTAGCGTTTCAGCCTCATTGCAGATAGATCAAAACAGTAACGGGTCCAACTTGAAGATGGCATCTGCTATGAGGGCAAAACAAGTTACTTTGCAATTTGACTTTGTTTTAATGGAATACCAAGATATCGTAGTTGAGTTAAACTGGAATCCTTGCCACTAGTGCTAAATTTCAAGTTTGATCTTTTCTTACTTTAACCAATCGCTAACGTTCCATTTTGTTTCAGATTCAAAGTTCAAAACTAAATCTCACCAAGAGCGTAAGACGATAAGACCCAGACAGAGCTAGCACCAAGTAGTCCATGTTGTAACAGCACCGGTTTCCTCCCGGCCGTCGTGGAGTTAGACTTCCCATGGGGGATACGGTGGTAGGTGAGAATGTAGCCATCATCTGTTGTGATCTCATGGGGTTCTACGGGGTATCCCTGCTGCCGGATGTAGTCTTCCTGTTATAAAGAATACAGAAATAGGTACAGTAAACACTAATAAATCTGGACAAATTTAGGTTTAAAGTTGTCTTGATTAATAAAAGTGCCTATAAAATCAAATGATCTTTTTATGTAAAAATGCAGTGCCATTCAATAACTGTTGGGTATTCCTTGAAGCATTTTTTTACAGACAAAAACTTAAACATATATTTTGAATTTAATAATAAAAAGAGTACCATTTAAGTAGTTGTGGTAATCAATTAGAACTCTAATTTGTTGTTTCAGGGTCCTCAGAAGCAAAAGACACTGATGTTAGTTTAGATCAGATGGGTGATTTTAAGTTGCGCCTTGAATCAGGTATTTTGCTATATTAAAAAAAAAAAAATATATCACATGGGTCACAATGACCTGTGCGTGATAGAGTCCTTGGCTGTCTGCTGTCAAAATAAAAGTTCTTCACACTTCACAATACACATAAAAAAAGAACTAACAATAACTTGGTAAAATAACACTATACAATTAATACTATAACAGTTATAAAATGACCTAAAAACCATATGCAACGTGCAATCAATAACAAGGGGTGCACATGGTTTGCAATACATCCGATTAAAGCATATCTTTTTTCTTTCAAACCAAATTTTTTACTGAGTTAAAATATTAATAGATAGTTATTAATGGATCTATTGCTGTGTGTGTCCACCAAAGACTTGTTTTGTTCGTAAGTTGATGAACACATTATAGAAATAGGCATAGTTAAATAACTGAATAATCCATGGGTGTAAATATTTTTAGATAAAGTTATTTACGTTGAAGGAAATAACACACCACTCAAGGAAATATTACTTTGCACCTTTAAACTAAAGTGTCATATTTTCCTTGTTGTTCATCACTTAATTGAACGATTACATAACTGTTGTCATCCACTGAACTTAAATTGTTTAATAGAGAGCATTATTTAATCTTATTCCGGATTTCCAAGAATAAAAACAGCAGTCACATGCACATCAACAATGCAGATGTTATCATTCGTGCAAGGTCAAATTCATGGCATTCGGCTGGTTAAATTATAGTGTTTTCTTCCACTAGAACTGGTTTGGCATAAATATGCCCTAGAGCAAGTTTTTTGTTGGGGAAGCAAAAGTTATGTAAAGTATGAAAAATCCATTACCAAAAGTTTAAAACAATATTTATTGTTATATGCTTTGTTACAACAATAAAAATCCAATAATCATAAATTCAGGTGTCAAATATCCAAAAAAACAATTCTGCTACCCAGCTATCAATTGTGCAAATTAATAAAAGTATTATGATGATTATTATTTTATCTATATTATCACATTTTAATTTCCATGAATCTTTCTTACAATTTGAACCACTCCATGATACAAAAGTTACTGGCTGTTAATTGATTTGTCAAGCCTTCCACATTTCCCAAGACCTTGACAATGGAAAAAAAATCAGGCAAATAAATATTAGTCTGTTTTCGCCTCTTTTTTTTTGGCTCTCTTTTTCGTCTATAAAAAACTCCAAGGTTGTGTACATACAATACAAAGAGTCAGTTGTATAGTGTAACCATAATTGATTTTGGGTACGTTTTTCATACTACGATAGTTTGTGAGTATACGGTTTCCAGTGAGTAACTCTTCTCGTCAACTTGATAAATAAATAATAGTCTGTGTATAAAAGAGAACAGAGTATTTCACAGCAGGGTTTTGTTGAAGCGCAATTCAAAATTGTTCTTTTCACTCACAAATCTTAGCTACATAGAACATCTTCATGGTGCATTTTTAGTCAAAGGTATTTTATTTTTTTAGAAAACTTGATGAGACTTCCAATTTTAAAACTTAAAGGTTCGGTTGAATAGTGTGCAAACCGCATACCTTTCTCGAAAGTGCTTTCGTTGATGACAGTGGGTGCTAGTGTCGTCAAAATTTTGTTTCAATTTTTTTAGGGTTAATTTTAAATTTTGTGCTTTGCAGATTTTAAATGACTGAAGTAACAAGAAACAAATTGTAAAAAAAAAACATTCCTAGCAGCACCGGTTGGAACTAACATTAAAATTGTCTTTAGCTTACCCATAAAATAATGACAATCTACTTAAGGGTAGTATGTTTTAACCAATCCATAGCTATGGAGGATAGATATAAAATTCTTAAAAAGTGAAAAATATTTGACTTGGTATTTGCTGATTCTAGAGTTCATTCGTCTCTCTGAATCACTTCGTCTGATTCATAATCTAAATTGGTTTGGGGTGGACAACAAAGTTTTGAAATGATTCACATTTTCATGGAAAGTGAAGGTAACTTGTGAAATGCTGTCGAACAATGTAGCCTACCTGTCGGTTAAGTACATTTGTAAAAAACATGGTAATTGTTTCATTTAAAATTTATCAGTAATAATTTGTTTTTACATGTTTTTTATAATTATATAAGATCTTAAGTGTAAACATGAGGTTTTATTGATTTATAAAACCATAGTTCTGACAAATTTTTATATTTTTTTTGCATTTAAAAAATATATAAAAATAACTGCCTGAAAAACTTATTTCTCCCAAAAAAAAAATTATTTTGATAAATTAATCTAAATATAATTTTGATACCTACGAACATATTTATGTATATTTATATATTTATGTGGGCATTAAAAAAAAAAATATATAGAGAAAACACAAAATCACAGTTTTCCGAGCGATATTAATTTAACTTACAATAGGCAAAGGTTCCGTATCCTCAAAAAGGTTAAAGTCGATGTTGATACTTCTAGACCACAACTTGAAACAAAATGTAGATCTGCATTCATTGTCACCTTGCACACACACAAACAGACACAACACAACTAACACTAAACAGCTGACCATCCTGTAGCACTGCTACCAACCTACTCATGGTCAAAACAGCTGACCCAGGCATAAATACTGACCAGTGACTCACAGCTGATGTAATTGTTGGATTTTGAGCTGTTAATTTTATCAGCAAATCAGTACAAAAACAGTGTGTTTTTGCAGCGATTACTTTGTTAGGCTCGATTTGCAGTTGTATGTTGTTTGAGGATAGTCATATAAAGGTTTAACGTGGAATATATATAGCTGTTGAGCTGAGTGCTCAACTAATTATCATTAGTCTGGTTTTATCAATTTATTACATCCATTAAATAATAAATACAAACAAATGGGCATTAACAAAAACCCATTTGAATTTTTTTTATTAAAAATTAGACAGGAATAGATAGCACTAAACATACAATATTTACTTAGTGCTTACAGATGATTAGTAATTTTTCTGTTGGAAATCAAACAGTTTAGCAAAGCTATATATATATAATAATTTGATACACCAAAACATTGTTGTATCTAAATTTTCAGTTTTAAGGCTCTAAGGAGCCAGGGCTTGTTTTTAGTGCTAATGATATCCTGGGCTATAAAAACAACTCTGGCACACCCCCCCCCCCCCCCCCCCTTAGTTTGCAATCTTTTTGTTTATAATCTAATATCTTGAAGTGTTTATTCATTACTGTACTTATTACTCATCCACTTAAAAACTAAAATAATTTTATTTAGTGTATTGCAATTGATGTGAATAGGGTTTATTCAAATAATAATGCATTTTGCTTAATTAATTATTTGTATTTGATTTGTTAGGAAAATTACAATCAAACACTATGGATAGAAAAGACAATTAATTAACTATTATTAACATTTTTTTACAAAATGACTAATGACAAAAGATAATTTATTTAAAATTTAGTTGAACTTAAAAAATGTCTTTTGTTGTCCTAATTTAATAAACCAGTCAGTGTATATTACATACAGCATCAAAAACCAGTTCAGTAGCTCATAATTAATTCTTTACCTCGCAAAACTTGTTCTGAAAAAGATTAAGATTAAAATCTCTAGGTAGTAAATTACTTCTCAGTCTACGTCTTTACGGAAGCTATTATTATCTTAAATTATTCCTCGCAAAAACAGACTTTGGTCTAAACCTTGACAGATAATTTATCAAGTGAACACTGAATGCGTCATTTTCATGAACATGGGTGAATTCAGTCAGGAACGGATCCCCAACTTGTTGAACAAAAATTCCAAAATAATACAAATAACTATAGACTTGTAAGGAAATAATATAAATTAATTATTAAAATTTCATGTTTATTCGTACAAACATTTCAGTTGTTGAAAGGAGTCTTAATAATTGGTCTTATGAAGTATTACAACATTACATTACTTGATGAAATTAACTTAATACTTGGTTTGTTTACTGTTCTAGATAGACTTAGACATTGTACTTACAAAAATTTCCCAACTTGTCTTCAATAAACAAAAACAAACTTAAACAACTGCCAAACAAGGTATTAAAGAGCAGATCTTTGCCACATTTTGCCATCCAAAGTATAGTTTGTGCGTTTGTTTGAAAAGTTTGTGTTCAATTGTTTAAACTAAATTTGTGCAACGCAGAACACAGACAAAACATGTTTTGTACAACGTTTGAATAGACAAAGTTCAGAAGTTTATTCTTCTTCCACACTCCAAATATAGTTTGTATGTCCCGATTGTCTGTCTAGTCTATACACAATATTTAACATGTATGAATTGATTTTTAACAGTAAAATGAGGCTAAGCCAACAAACAAATCCGTCTGTCCAACTAAATATATAGTAAATTGATCAGATTAACTCCTATCCTATGTACACATAGACTGGTTTACTAACATGGCTACCAGCATATTAAGCAAAATGTTTGTCAACGTTCTTGAAGTCCTCACATCAGATCTTGAGAATGTAATTGTGACTGTAGATAATTCATGAAGAAGAAGGAGGAAGGTTATGAAGGGTTTCAACGATGTTGTGGTACAACAGTTTCTTTCCGTCGATGGCCCACATGAAGTCAACGTGGTTGAATTTTTCATCTGGTACTTCTCTGACTATTCGTACGTTCGGAAGCTTTATGACTGTAAAGAAAACATCCTGCAACAATGGAAATTATTTACAACAAGTACACTAAAGTCACAACAATTACAGAAAGTATTCGTAAATCAAAGGCAACGTTTTCCAATTATTGTTTTTGTACTTTTCTCAAAAACATGATCTAAAATACACTTACTTACTCAGTAATTTTACTAAGAAATCCTTACCTCAGGCACAGCTAACCAGTCGTTAAGCGCGTAGTGGATGTACAACGGAGCTTTTACATTTGTTAGATTGTAAGGAGGAGGGGTATGTGAATGGTACTTCCACATGTTACCAATGGGACCGTAGTCAAAGTAACGGAAATCTGCATCTGAAACGGGCATTGTTTATTTATGAGTAAACTTAGTAAAATATCATTACACTTAATTGTCCGGGGTTAAGGTAGTGCTGGTCCTTCAAATCTGAATGTTATTATTTCAAAATAGGATAGATTCTGGAACCAGCTGTCATTTATCGTTAAAGATATAAATTCATAACTTAGTCATGATGACAGAGCCACACAGATTGCTACATTTCACTTCAAGTTTTAAACATACACAAAAATGTGGTAGCTAAGAAAATAATGATAAAAGTTGTTTACTAACCTGTTTTACAAATCTGACTGTAATGTTGTAATTGCTTGACGGAAGCCCCAGCTGGCATGTAGTTCAAAATAATTGGGAAACTTGTCTGGAAAAATAAATGAAAGAGATTAAATGTATAATCTAGAACTAGCAGATGTTCCTAAGCTTTTCTATGCATAATTGAAGAAATTGTTCTAATAAGTGAATTGATAAGTACTGTAACACGGAATTTGCTAATCTATTTATAGGTTTTAAAACTGTTAAGCTGGACTTTTCTAGATACGGAAGAAGAGAGTGGACTCCGACCTCCGCTTTTACGCCTAGGTAAACCCAGCTTAACGTACATTTCTCAAATTTATTTGGAATTTCATATCAGATCCGCTGATTGCGTTGGGCATGAAATGTAAGAAATAATTTGTCTTTGTGACGGTTTCACTGAATGTAAATATCTTTGGTGGTGTGTGTGCTCTAATTTCAAAGATCGTAAAATATATATAGAAATACACACTGAAGCGATACTGGATTGAAACATAGCTTAAAATGTACTCAAGCAGGTCGATAAGTATGATAAATCCGTAACAAAAGTATGTTTAATCCATGGCAAATGTTTACTAATGGAAAAACAATTCAATCGTCATCCATATTTATGAGAAATAAAATACTAATGTATCCAGTTTCTGGCCTAGGGTTAAGTTTGATTTAGCTTATAGAATCTTCCTTCATAGTCTTAAGCGGCCGTTGTCATCACTAAATCTCAGGCTCAGCCCACCAGTAGACCGATAACTTAGCATATAATTCAAATATGACATTATCTATGATTTATTATTTGCCTCTACGTATCTACCATTGTTCTCTATTACGATATTATAATTTCTCACCCTATTCACTTCAGGATTGTCGAACCCAGCAATCTCAAATACAATGTCTCTACACAGAAATTGCAGTAACTCTCGTGAACAGATATTCTCGTCCAACCAGTAAGTTCCCCTCGAAGTAGGAAATACCTCGTATATGTCTACTGATCTGAGAAGACTCTGGAAAAACAAACATATTGTGTAATTCAACGTCCAAAAGAAACCAAATTTACCATGTTTAGCAAAGTTTTACCTTTTCTGTCACATTTCTGTATTAGAAAGGTTTTCACTCAACAATATATATACAAAATACTCTGACAGTTACTTTTATGCAATCATTCACTATTACTATGATATTGTACATGGTATGTTACCGTACGTTATTTTTCCAATGAGGTTTTTTTTGTTAGAATAGGACCGCTGTCTTCTCCGGCTTGTCCTAAGAGGCGATCAATAGGGGTTTGCTTTGCTGGACAGACACACTCAATAAGGAAGCAATTGCAGTCTACGCAGTGTAATATAAACGACTAGACACGGGGTAAACCCTTTGGGCATAGGCAAACTTGGCCTAGTTGTGAAGAAGTGCAATAAGTGTTCCCAGGCTGGTTTCCAAAGGGTAGAGGAGATGCATTTTTGCTTTTTATCAGGTACACCTTTTAAACCATTCTAAAACCAACTCACTTTTTCAAGATGAAACTGGCAACCTTATATTAGTAGGCAAGCACAATTGCCAAGCTTCTAACTACCTGAACCATTCTAATAGTTAACAAAACTTACGTCTAAAGAAGGCTGTAAGTCGTTGACAAAGTTAGCGATCGGGCTGCGGATGTTGTAAGGGTAAGCCACCGGGGCCAGCAGCACGGCGGCCTCCACCTTGGCCATGTAGTCTGGCTTGGAGGCCCCCAGTACAAAGAACATGGTGGTGCCCATGGAGTGGCCGATGTACAACAGTTGCTGATGTTTGGTCACATTCAGTATGTAGTCTATTGATGCTGGCAGGTCGTAGTAGCCCATCTCATGCCAACTGCCAAGTAAAAGAAATTTCTTGGTGGTTGTCATGTAGGAAAATAATTCTTGTTTTGTTCACTCCACAATTTTCTAAGTAAATTTAATAGTATTGCAAATTGCCATTGAAATAGGATTGTTGATTGGGATTGTTTTGAGATGGTTTGCGTATGGATAAGAGTCCATCGTTGCACAAGAAACACGATAACTTAACACTGTACACAACTATAATAGTTCACTGACAGCGTTCCTTAAATCTTAAGACCTAGGCTCTTTGTTCTCTATGTTACATTATTTTGTGAATCCTAAAGAACAACTGAATTAAATCATGCAGTTCTTTTATGAATCAAGCACAGGAACATTGTAGTAGGAGCGTTTCCCGTCTTGTGGCTAGAGTGTAGGACTTCTATTCAAGAAGCCAGGGTTAAAATCCTGCAAATTACTGGTCTTTAGTTGATAATGCCTTTTAGGAGTATAATGTATATTTTACGGCAGTGTATCTGGTCAAAGAAAGGTCTAAGTCTTTGTGTACGGAATGTCCTTTACCTCTTGTATTCTTTAGTCGTAGCTTCTTGACTCCTTCCTGAGTTTCTACCACCTAGTGAGTTTAACTTTTGTCGGAAAACATCTTTAAATGGTTTGTATAATGGATTGTACGTATCGATCACAATTTTTTTACTGCTGAATACATTGAGTAAAATTTTAATGTTCATTGCTCTATAAATTATAATACCTGAAGTTCCAGAACGCTCTCTTGTCTTTGTCGGGATTGTATGTTTTGTGTTTCCTAGAGTAAGTGTTGCCACGTGCATTGCCGAGCCACAGGTCAAATCCTGCATCTGCCAAAGTGAATCCTGAAAAAATCATTCATACTTACCATTAATTCATTTTCATTAGAATAAAAATAACTTATTTTCAATTAAGTTACCAAGAATCAAAAAGTCAATGCTACTGTGAACTCGGTAGACATTCCATTGTCGTGTTTAAAGTTTGTTGTAGCCAGTTGTATAATTTTACAAAAAAACAAATTCAAGTGAGTTACTGCTGTCACTATCACTAGGCTATATACCAACCAAGAGATTCATCGGTGATCACCCAAGCAGCACTAGAGGCCAGCAGTCCATGTTGTAGCAGAACAGGTTTACCTATACGACCTGACGAGGTCTTCCCATGGGGGATACGGTGGTACGTCAGGATATAACCGTCGTCCGTCGTAATCTCATGGGCTTCCACAGGATAGCCGTGCTGACGGATGTAGTCTTCCTGCCGAAATGATTTGCGATTATTCAAGAAGATAATCTCAAAAGTTTAGAAAATGTGTAATATTCTAAACTGACTACAGTAGACTCCCTCTTATCCGGACTTCTCAGGACCGAGGCCAGTCCGGATAACGGGTTTTCCAGTTAAACCGATGTCCCCAAAAATTTATTAAAACCGTTTAGTGTGATATTTGACTTAAACTTATTAGTGCATTGTATTTAGACACGTGATCACTGGTCTCAAATCTTTCGTACGAGAACAGTCGTTTCAGTACCGCCCACTTCCTGCCGATCTAGTCCGGTTAAACCAATGTGCTGATAAAAATTGTCCGCTTAAAGATGAGTAATTTCCGCCGAGTGTAGTCCGGTTAAACCGATGTCCGGTTAAAAGGTGTCTTGATAAGAGGGAGTCTACTGTATTAGTTACACACTGTATAGGTTTTGTTTACTTTGTACATAATATATTTTGCAGTTTTTTGTACAAAATCTATTCTAATCTAATGTAAAGTGAATGTGGTTAAAATATAGCTTGACTTCAAACCTGAGGATCAACAGTTTGATTCCAAGATCCTAAATTTCATTTGTCATTGATGGTGATTAGTTATGAATTAACTGCTGTCTAACAAAGAAACCTATGTTTAGTTAGAGTAACAGGATCATGTTTTAGACCCCTTTACAAAAAACCAATTGGCATAAACAAATTGTTGACAATACAATACCATATAGATAAAACATACTCCCTTAGTACTTGTGTTGCTTAGTCTATGACAATACTTACTGTACTTAGATTTTTTGTCTGTAGCTCGGTTGTTTTGTCAAGCAAGTGAATGGGAATCGTTTTTTAACAATCTAAAAAGTTCCTATAAAACATTCTATACTAAACTTAAAAAGTATAACTTACAATAGGAATTGGTTCATCTTCACAATCACTCAAAACACAGTTATTGTAGATGTCAGACGAAACTACACTGAAAACTGACAAAAACAAAAAATACAAGCACAATTTCCACTCCATCGTACAATGCTTCTGAAGCTCTACAAGAACTGGTCAACTACTTGAACTATTGTTTGTCACTTCTATGTAAAAGATAAGCTACTGTCTAAGGGAGATAAACGCTTATCTATTCATGATGACACCACATCTTGATAATTTACTGATTTACACTAAAGAACATGTGTTTTTGTGTAGAGTAAGGTATCCCTTTTATAGCCTTAGTGAATTTTATAGCTTTAAAACTGTTCGAATTTAAATGTTGACTTGTAAATTGTAAATTATATTGTGTCAACTTTGACTTTGTCTATTGCATAGTTGTAATGCTGAAGGACAATAAAAATATTCTGATTCTGATTCTGATTCTGATTGTGTAGCCTTCTAAATTCGGCATTTGTTGCATGATTCATACTGATTGTGATTTTTTCTAGAGATAGTTGGTGACTCGCTAGGGTGCAGAGGTTAAGGAAGTGATGAGTGTAGGATTCATTAGGTAATACCTTTGTTGCTGACTGAAATCAGCTGTTCCTGTAGCCAAAATCATATTAAAAGCCCAACAATCAAGGAAAACTTTGCCAGTTTTGAATGAACAAAGAGGTGTTGTTTTTTTCTCAGGATCACACTCTGTGCGATCTTCTGCAACTTACTAAAAGCACTCACCAATTTATACAACAGTCATGGACAGCAACAATGATTAAATCAGCTAAGAGCTTCTTCAAAATCTTTATCCCTCAAATAAAAGATTTTCTATACTTACCAACATAATATTAATTATATACAGTATACATGGTCTCTAAAGGTCTGTTTGGGTTTTAAATTTTCCCCTTAGAAATTAAATTTAAACATAAAACACATGTTCTTATTTCTTTTAAGAATCCCAATGATGAAAACAGAATGTTCATAAAAACAACAAATAACATAATTTCACATCTTTTAAATTTGTAAAATCTGTTAAGAAAACTGGTTCATCATGTCACGAATAATTTTACAGTCAAAGGTAATTTTGTAGCCCTAAAAATATTAATTGTTCTTTATCACACCAGATGTAGAGAAGATGTTATGCTAGATAACTATTTGTATTTGTTAATTTTTTTAGGTCTAATTCGTTTTGAAATACACTTTCTTGTAAGTGTAGTACGTAACAATTATTTTAACAACATGAATAAAGTGTAAGTGTTTAATTGGGAATAGCAAGACTAAATATTTTATTTACAGCTTACTTCGGTACAAATTAATGAATCTGTTAATTCCTTTATAAAATTTCCCCACAAAGAGAAACATAATAAAGCCATAGACACTTTATGATACAAAAATACACAAACAATATCAGAGTCACATACACAGCTTTACAGTTCAACTGGAAACTCTTATCGCAACCCAAAAGATATTTGAAGTTGATTCTATTATATTTTGCCAGGTTCTCCTTCAGAACTATTGTATGTTTCGGATCGCTCTTCCGTTGGTACTGAACAGAAGGTCTGACGTCTTTCAAGTTCTACAAAAATGTCCTTTTTCATCAATACAACCAGAAGGTGAGAACTTATTTGTGTGGAAAATATTTTAAGTTTTATCATAAGAGTAAATTTTGTTATCTTTATTCATAATATTAGAGAAATAGCATATTGGAGAACAGCTAAATAGACCTATCCTCGTTGGTTTTAAATACGGTAATGGATTATGTTATAGTGTGGATATCAGACTTATACCTGTATGGGAAAGAGTCCACTTCGACTCAAGAAACATAAAATACTTTACACATAAGTAAATGTATTTCATTGTCACTGACAGCATTTTCAACTGAGGAAAATTTGAGACTCTTTCCAACTCAATCCTTCTCGCATTCTCTTTTCCACTTTGCCATTCAGGAAAGCTTGCTATCCTAACAAAAGTCCTTTAAACCCTTGTGTTCTATGCCCTTATATCAAAATAATTATATTAATTGTACTCACTCTTTTTTTGCCTGTTAAGCATGAAAAAATACTGAAGCCACACCATTTGTTACAGAACTTTTGAAACAAGAACCTAAAAAGCCAGAGGTACCAATAGAATCTCCTAAACACGAAACTCTTAAGATAGAGACGCTTCAAAAGGAGGTTGAAAAAAGCATCAACCGAATCCCGAAGAATAGTTTGGGAAGTATTGTTGCTATAAGCTCTGAGCCTGTCATAGATTCTTCTAAGATACCAGGAGATAATGATATCAAGCTTTCAGTCGTTGACAAAAGTTCTCATCCTTTGAAGGTTGTTACTGTTGAATCCAGCAACCAAAAGACTCTACTGAGGGCGTTTGTTTTGGTGGGTGTTTCATTATAAGAATTTGAATGGAAAGTCAAGTGCAGTATTAGGATTTTTTTTTATACAGTAGATAGATTTGCTAGTCACAGAGAAGTAAAGTACAGTGACGTTCAATGATATACTTAAAAGTGGTGGCTAGCACTAGCAGCTGGTATTTAGAGCAAAGTCCAACACCACCCTCTTGCCCTCATGTGCTACAACACTCACGGTGGAGGAAGACCTTGTGCCTAGCCCTGTGTGCGATAGGCATTTCCGCACAGTGTTCTCCGCTCTGGCTCTTCCTCAATCCTCGCCTGTCTCAAGAATATTTCTGGCATTTGAGCTGGAAGCACACAGTCAACCCATTAGCGAACTCTGTCTGTACCTTACTTCTCTGTGGCTAGCAAATCTAATATAGTGTAAATGGAAAACCTTATTTCCCAGGTAAACAAAAAAAATATTATGGAATCAGTTAAACTTAACAAGCCACCCCCCTTTATATTAATAATTATAAAATTATGTAACCATGTACTCATTAAATTTTATCCACAGGATATCATGCAAATGCAATACAGTTTGGGTGTGCTGTTGGCAAAGGCACGGGTGAAGGTGACAGAACAAATCCAAAAAACCAGAACCAACCGGAACGCTTCGGGCCCGATTTGGGCTGAACTTAAACATAAGGAGGTTGAACTCTTTGTGAAAAAGAACGAACCAAAACCTAAAGAGGAGCCCCTTGAAATTCCTCCCTTAAAGTCCAACTTGGGGGAAGCTATTCAGCAGAATTTGCCAGCCTGGCAAAAATCTATTTCTATCTCGCTTGGAAATTTACAAAAAACTGTCGTCAAAAAACTAGCAAAGTAATTTGTTTTATTTATTATACCTAAATTTTGTAGTTATTGTTATGTTTTGTTATGACTCTTGAAATGTAAAAAATTATATGTGTTTGAATTGAGATTTTTTTTATTAGTGCTACTATTTATGTACATAACTTCACCTACTTAATTTTAATTTCAAAACAGTAATTATTTATATCGATGTGAAAATAAAAAAATTTTTAGGTAGTATTTTAGTGTAAAATAATAAATTCAGGCAAATCAGCAGGTTTGCTGCAACAGGGGTTTCTCGTGCTTTTGCTCAACCTATCACGAGCCCCGGTTTTAAAAGGAAACACATTAATACATTGACAGGGTTTATCGTTGATGATACAAAAAATATTAATATTTATTTACAGTATTTTGTTTTGCCAAAGGGATACATTTCAAACAGCCTGCAGTTGTACGGTTGTGAAACCCGCAATACATTTATGTTTTGGTATTGCATCGCTCGGTTTGCAGGAGTTGACAAAATACCACAGAATACGGTATTACGGAAATAGAAAACTTTTATTCGTCGAGACAATTTATAATGGAGTTTTGCGAAAGGTTTCTCTTCATGACGAACATTTTAAGTATATGGTTTATGGGTGTGTGACTTGTAGTTTTCTCAAAAGTTCATGGGTACTTTGGGATTTATATATGGATTATTGGCTTATACTACAAGATTTATTCCATCATGTTACTAATTCTACTGATATTATTACTATCTAACGTTGACCTCTTGTGATAAGCATCATTAATTGAGAGCACAATGACAAAATAAATACATCTGCGTCTGGTTAAACGTCATCGCTTGGAATCGAACCAGCGACCTTCAGATTTAAAGGCGAGCGTAAATTAGAAAAAATATAAAATTCAACCGCAAGTTGTTAAATTCAGTTTCGTAGTTGGTAACCTCGGGTTTGGAGTTTTCATGACGTCACTAATGTTAGTGAAATGTGGTGCCTGGTACAGTGCTAATACCGTGGAAATGGAAATAAAGCTTGTTATGTGTTTATTTGCATCAGTAGTATCACAAACCTATGGTCATTATTTCATAACTTGGTTTCATGCAAGTTTTTTTTAAGTCAGGCAATACTTGAGTTTCTTATTTTAGAGCTTTTTCAGTACGTTATACTTTTTGTTACAATTAGGTCAAGCGGTTTACAAAAATATGTATTTTGATATATTTAATTTACGGTATTTATTTATAATTTGCCCTATACAAGATTAACCGTTCGTAAACATAACTTTAAAATTTAAAGCAATTTGTCGATAGTCTAATTTTAATATTTTAGTCTATCTATTATATAAAGCCAAAAGTACCCATGAACTTTTGAGAAAACTACAAGTCACACCCCCATAAACCATATACTTAAAATGTTCGTCATGACGAGAAACCTTGCGCAATATTATCCATTATTTCATAAATTGCCCTATAAGGTCGTAATTGCTTTCCAAAGGGAACTTTCCATTTACCTAATGTTAAAAATACCTCAGCTGTTATTATTTGTTTGTATTACCATTACTGTATTCTGCTTTGTTTATTTCAGCTTAACTTAACCAATCAATAGTTTTATTAATACTTATGTAGTAAACGGGGTGGAGCCCGTGGGTAACAGCAGTTTTAATCATTCCAATACTTTCAAAACTAATGTCATAGTTCCTTTACGAAAAACTAAAAATCCATCGGCGTAGGAACTCAAGGAACACATTAATATAGCAAGGTTAAGAGTTTATTTTTAAAAACCAGTAAGCTTTTGTACTTATTTTTGTATTGTCCTACACCCTTAAGAAATTCTTAACCACTCAATATTTCCTATTATATTGCCTTATTGAGTTATTGGGCTAAATAAGCAAAAAAGATAAACAACATAGGTAAACAGACTAAAATTGTTATGTTAGACTATTGTTATATTTTAGGTCGTTGTATTTATTCTTCATCATGGAATATTATTTCTGTCATATGAATAAGTAAATAAATAAAATAACAAAAAAACAAAAGAGTACTTTAATGTTTGAGATGTGCAAAGGGAAATTTAACTTTGCGCCTGCTAGTGAGGTGGCACTACTGCAAACTCCCAGCAGCCTCAGCGTCTCTCAGATCAGAAATTGCCATTTCCTCTCCGAAACAGTCAGCTGGGTTCTCTTGTTCGGGACTGTATCCGTGTTTGTTTCGTGTTGTGCAGTGACTCGAGTTATTTTTATCGAAAATTCGTTTGTGTTATTGACTTTTGTGCTCAAATTTACGTAAATGGTAAGTCTAGAGATTTATTTTCTTTGTGACATGTTGGAAATTTATCATACAGTAGCGGGGTATTTACAAGAATGTGACTATTTATGTGTTTGTTTACATTTTATTTAAACCAGAAATCTATTGTTAGTATCATTTATTTATAGGAATTCTCATCTTTTACGTTTTACTTGTAATTAATTAGTATTGAAGAATATCAATAATCTCTTTTAAGAAAGACAAGATACCTACTATAATCTCAGCTTTGTAAACTAATAAATAGCATTACTTTAAGGTGATTTTAAAATTCGTAAATCACGTTTAAGCCTATTTATTATATCTAGCCTATTTCTCGAGACTCAATTAAAAGGTTATATGACATTTGTGCGTTTTTATGTCATACAATTGTACTGCACCTTTAATTAACGGGTAGTAGGTACAAGTTTTGGTTTTTACTCTATGGTCATTCTTCATATCACTTTCATTAGATCTTTTGTTTACATTTTCCCTTTGAAGTCTTGTTTTTGTCTACAGTTACTAGGCCTATCCGATTTCCATTTCAGGCTTTTGTTTACGGTTCTGTAAGCTTACCACTACATACTAACATGGAATGTAGTAGCCTATATTTTGTGCTAGGGATTAACTTAAAAACCCTCTGATTAGTTCTTTTGGTAGGTTTGGTGAAAAAATCCTAATTAGGCTAGTATGGTGGCTACATAGGATAGCTTAAACTTAGTTCAAACTTAATTGGCAGACGTTACACTTTTATGACCGATATTTATAATTAATTTAGGGTAGGCCTATAGGGTAGACATATATGACGTTTAAATACAAAATATAGGCCTATTCGTTAAAGTTGAGTCGACAAACATAAAATTTAAAACTACACTCGAATATGAAAATCCAATCGCTTGAAGGCTGTTGCCGCAAATTAAACCTTGACTTCCAATTAAAAAAAATTATAGTTACGGGTATTGTATAGTTATGAGTGGTGAGGCCTTCGTAAGGAATTTAGAATCGTTCTGAAATTATCACTTTCACAAAATCCCATCGTCTGACATTGAAATGTATCGCCTAATGAAGGAAGCTACAGCCTTTCTGCCAGTCACATCTCATCTGCAATAATTTATCTCTGACCTTTTAAGCTTTCCTGAGTTATATTTTATTTGGTTTATCTCTACATTAACTGAGCTTTATTAGGCTACTTAAAAAAGCTATAGCTGAGCAAATTATACAGTTCCTATTATTTGTGCACAGAGAATGTTGCCATTGCCGGTTCGATAGTGAAGAAAGTCAGTATAAGACATGATTAGAATCAGCTCTTCTTTATCATTGGGTTTACACATGGTCCAGGCTAAGCAAACAGCTGATCTCTGTCAAAAGCTGTTATCCGCATCTCATTCAATAGCAATCATTCACTCATCTTAGCCCCTTTACTAGGTGGCGTTCGCAGAGGCATCCACAAAATTGAGCGGAGTCATCAAGGGTTCATATTATATTATTTTTGTAGCATTTTTACTCTTTTGGGAGTAAAAATACTTTTTAGCCTCTATGGAGTAAAAATCAGCTGTTGTCAACTCAGTTGTAAATTTCTATTGTAAACGATTGCATGTATCGAAATATGTATCGATTCGTGCTTCGTAATCATTTTAACCTACAGTCTACAGTCTCTTACCATAACATTTAAGGACTGCAGATTCTGTACATTAATGTAATTGCCAAAGACAGTTCCCACACTCTGCACTGCAAGCCTTACTACTTCCTTCACCATTTCCTATGTCATAGACCTGTTTTCTTCCCTTCTCATAGCATTTAAGTTTTAGTTACATTTATTTAACTGCCCAAACGGTTCCCCCACTCTGCACTGCCAGCCTTTACTACTTCCTTCACCACTTCCTATGTCGTGGGGCCTGAATCATTCCCTTCTCATAGCATTTTAGGATTAAAGATACATTAATCTAACTGCCACATATACGGTTCTCACACTGTGCTCATACTTTACTACTTCCTAAGCCACTTCCTACATCGTGGACCTGTTTTCATCACTTTCCATAGGCTAGCATTTTAGTGTTTTAGATACGTTAATCTAATTGCCACAAACATTCCCCACACTCCGCACCGCTAGCCTTTACTACTTCTTTCACCATTTTCTATGTCGTGGGGATGCTTCCATCCCTTCTTATAGCATTTCAGCATTGCAGATACATTAATCTAACTGCTACAAACGGTTTCCAGTTCCCACTCTCCACACTGCTCACCTTACTACTTCCTTCACCTCTTCTTACGTCGCGGACCTGTTTCCCTCTCTTCCAATAGAATTTTAAGATCGTAAATACCTTAATCTAATCGTCATAAACAGTTACCACACTCCGGACAGCTCGCCTTGACTACTTCCTTGCACCACTTCCTACGTCTTGGACCTGTTTCCCTCCCTTCCCATAGCATTTTAGGATTGCAGATCCCTAAATATAATCGCCATAAACAGTTCCCACACTCCGGACTGCTCGCATTTACTACTTCCTTCACCACTTCCTACGTCGCGGACCTTTTTTCCTCCCTTCCCATAGCATTATAGGATTGCAAATACCTTAATCTAATGGTCATAAACAGATCCCATACCCCAAACAGCTCGCCTTTACTACTTCCTTCACCACTTCCTACGTCTTGGACCCGTTTTCCTCCCTTCCCATAGAATTTTAGAAATGCAGATACCTAAATCTAATCGTCATAAACAGTTTCCACACTCCAGACTGCTCACCTTTACTACTTCCTTCACCATTTCCTACGTCACGGACCTCAAGCTAGTGTCGTCATTTGATTATATTTATGATCCATACCGTTTCCGTTCTAATATCTGTGGAATAATGCTATCAGCTATTTCTTTATCTACTGCATTCAAAAGTCAACAGCTGATCATATGTCTTTGTTTATGTGTCAAATACTGCTTCCATATAGTACGGTGCAATTAGATCTAAACCGGGACATCCAAAAAAAAAGTTTCAAACCAGCGCAAAATTGTTGAATACACTTCCCTCAATATGTAAAAAAAAGTTACACTGATTTGAGTGTCGGGTTTGGGGGGGAGGGGGTGAAAATGGGGTGAAAATATGACTTTTTTTACTTTTTCGCAAATACCTCAAAAACGGTGCGTTTTTCTTAAAACACAATGAATTACAAAAATAATCTACATTAAATTTCGAACAAAATTATACCATACAATACCTATCTACTATAAACGGTTCAGGAGATATTGGGGGGTTAATGTGATTTTTTCTGAAAATTCTAAAAAAAATTGTTTTTTAATGGAGAAAAACCATGGACACCCATAGAAAAAGTTTCTAATGAGTGCCAAATTGTTCAGTAGACCTCCCTTAATATGTGTAAAAAAGTTACACTGATTTGAGTGTCGGGTTTGGGAAGTAGGGTTTAAAGAAAATGGGGTGAACTTAGGACTTTTTTTACTTTTTCGCAAATACCATACCTCAAAAACGGTGCGTTTTTCTTAGAATACAACGAATTACAAAAATAATCTACATTAAATTTCGAACAAAATGATACCGAACAATACCTATCTACTATAAACGGTTCAGGAGATATTGGGGGGTAAATGTGATTTTTTATAAAAATTCTAAAAAAAATTGTTTTTTTAATATAGGAAAACCATGGACACACATAGAAAAAGTTTCTAATGAGTGCCAGATTGTTCAATAGACCTCCCTTAATATGTATAAAAAAGTTACACTGATTTGAGTGTCGGGTTTGGGGGGGAGGGGGTGAAAATGGGGTGAAAATATGACTTTTTTTACTTTTTCGCAAATACCTCAAAAACGGTGAGTTTTTCTTAAAATACAATGAACTACAAAAATAATCTACATTACATTTCGAACAAAATGATACCATACAATACCTATCTACTATAAACGGTTCAGGAGATATTGGGGGGTAAATGTGATTTTTCTTAAAATTCTAAAAAAGATTGTTTTTTTAAATGGAGAAAACCCATGGACACACATAGAAAAAGTTTCTAATGAGTGCCAAATTGTTCAATAGATCTCCCTTAATATGTGTAAAAAAGTTACCCTGATTTGAGTGTCGGATTTGGGAAGTAGGTTTTAAAGAAAATGGGGTGAACATAGGACTTTTTTACTTTTTCGCAAATACCTCAAAAACGAACTCCCTTGATATGTGTAATACAGTTACACTAATATGAGTATCTGATTTTGGTGGGAGGGTTTTTCGAAAGGGGGGCTCGTAAAGGGTGGATTTTTAATATATAATGAATTACAACAGTGATCTATTGAATTTTAAACACAATAATACTATACGATACCTATCAACTATGAACGGTTGTAAAAATTGCAACTACATTCTAATAAAATAATAAATGACGATAAAAATATTGATTTCCTTGTAAAAAAACATGGCCACCATTTTCCAAAATGGCAGCTAACTTTAATATTGGAACCTTCTGTATTTCATGGTCTGTTTAAGATATAAATGTGATTTTAACACTTTTTCGTTCTTTGGACTTTCTCTATAAACTTATTCGTTTATGAGCTACAGGATGCGGATTGTACACAGCAAGCCTTTTTTCCATGAGTGTAACACGTTGTAACTCCTAAACGAGTAGTTTTTAAGAGAAAATGTCAAAGTTAAAAATATTTTTAAATTGCATTTAAATTCTAAAACAATCATAAACCACAGGGTGTTCCATAAGAAATAACAAAGTTGTCGGCCATATTGGAAAATGGCAAACATATTTTTAAAATTGGAAATCATCCCAAAAAACATCTAAAAAGTAAAGGGGAGTGCTCCATAAGAAGTCAACTCTATAACTCATAATAAAAAAAATTAGCTAGAGGTTCACTTTACGTGAGACATCCTACAGGGTGTCCCGTAAGAACAGCCAAACTCCAGGAAATGGTTCTATGGGTCAAAATAAAAAGAAAATCAAGAATAAATTATTTCCCAAAATCGCTTTGTTAACCAGATATTTGCTATTTTTTATTCGAATTTTTTTACCG